AGCTTTCAAGTCTGCTGAAGGTCAGAAAGGACCTGCAGATGAAGTAGCAAGCACTGTTCAAAAGTTGTGCTCCTTGGTTATGCAAATGGCAAGTAAAGAGATCTCTGAAAATCTGGAAGATGCTGCCAATAAATGTATACGCCAGGCAATTTATGCCACCAAAGATGGGAAAGCCCTCAATCCTGGTTCTGTAAGTAAAGTTGCATCCAAGATGGTGAACGAGGTGATGGAAAATGCCCAGGATCCTGGTGTTAAATCATCTCAAGAACAGGTTACGGGCAAGAAGGAAGAGGGTAAAGGAAGTCCCAAGAAAACCTCTCTCTTTTATGGTGAGGTATGCTCCAACCAAAGTGAATCCATGCCAGAATGTGATGACGGAAAGCCAACGTCACATGCTCATTTGATACATCCAAGGAAACAGTCAGGTCGCAATGACTGCGGTTCTTTTAACAAAGGGCTAATGGTTTATGCAAATAAAAATGCTAAGGATATGACATTCTCATTTGTGAATGCCACAAAGATTCACAAGAGTAGGCAACCACTTCCAGCTTGTGTGATTTTGAAAAGAGTGTTTCTCAAACACACAAAGGATGTCATATCAGACTTAATTGACTCTACTATGAAAAATCTACATAATGTCACTGGGGTCCTCATGACAGACTCTGACTTTGTTACCACAGTGAAGAAAAATCTCTTCAATGCAGGGACCCAGAAGTCAACGGAGATTTTAGAAGCAATGGTACTAAGAATGTACAACGCTTTGATGTCGGAAACTAAGGAGAAAGGGCATAGTCTTGTATACTCTTTATTGAAGACAGGATGTTCGTTAGATCCTAATGCTCCAAATATGCATTTCGCCTCTTTGAAAGGTGGATTACACACGAGGGAGAAAGTAAAGCAAGATCCAGCTCAGTCTGCAGCTCAGAAAGTAGGTGAGACAATAATTAAGGATGGAATCAGCATGCTGCGATCAAAAACAGGATGCAAAGGTCCAGACAGGGGATGCCATGACAAGAGACCAGAAAAAAGTAGCTCCACAACTGAGTTTCTAGCAAAAGACCTCATTTTGACAGCTTTAATGTTGATACAGCAGCATCTGCTAACTCAATACAAGGACCCATGTCATGACTCAAACACATCTTCATTTGGGTTCTGTGAAAAGGGAGGCAAACATGGTTCCAAATCTCATGGTTGCAAGGGTGATCCACAACAGCAAGATTACCAGAGGGGAGAAATACAAAGTGCTCTCCTATCAATCATCCAGAAGGTCCTTCAAGAGGCTGGTTTCAACGTGGACGAGTGCGAAATAAGCACCAAGAATTGCAAACCAAGCTCATATGATGATAGGTCTAGCAGAAAATCCTCAACCAAACACTGCAATCCAGAAATGGATTCTGAAAACATGGACCAAATAAACAAGAAATTCATTGATCAGCTGATGGAATCTGTGATGAAGCTGTGTATGTACATGACTAAAAGCCCTGATTTTGTTGTTGAAGATTACTCTGATGATCAAGCTACATACTTTACCGCAAGAAACAAAGGTGTATCAAGTCCAGATTCGATGGCATCCCAGAAACCTCCACAACCTACTAATATTGGAAAGCCACTTGTGCCCGCTGGTTCTGAGGTGATAGTAAACAACCAGTGCGCCAATACCAGCTCACAGAACAAAGAGCTCCAGGCTATCCTCCAATGGATGGCGGCCTCTCACTTCCAAGTGCCCAATCTCACATTCATGAATGAGAATGATGAGGAACTGAAGAAGCTTCCTCAATTGGCTGATAAAGCAGCCAAGAAGGGTGCGAGTGTGGGGGATATTTTGCAGGAGGTAATGAAGTATTTCGAAAAACAACAGGTTGATGCCGCTGTGGGAAACATGCCTCGTGGCGGACTTCTTGACTGGTTGCTTGCTAATCTGTAGACAAGTGCCAACACCTCCCTCTCATTAATTCCACCCAGCGAAGTGCCATCTTAATTACCAGATGGAATAACAATACAGCTCATTTTCCATAGACAACAGTTCATCAAATTCCACAGGCTGTCACACTAGCTGGGCAAAATCATCAATAAAAAAAATACAAATGTCAACTGTCATTGATTTGTTTATTAATTCATATGTAGATACTATTTATGAGATGGAAAGGCGATACGAAAGCTAGAGGTTGTTTTATTGGAGATGGTTACCAGTGTAGTCGATAGACCATTTAGGTGGTTTTGCCTTTTGACATCTGTTTTTTACTATTAGGGAGATTCTTTCTGGATTCAAGACTGATCACAGATTCTTTCCCTCTTCTTTCCCTTCCCCTTCGACAGACGTCGCAAAGCATTTAAAGTTAGGTGAAAAGGTTTATATTGCTGAACAGTACTCCTTGTACTTCAGGATTCCACTTTCTGTCAAGCAAAACCCATGAAGTTTAATAGTTTTGTTAGTAAGATGAAGAAAATTGGTTGGGTTTTGATTTAGCAGTGTTCAGTTTCTCCAACTACACTATCCATAATTTCACGTTGGTATTGACAAGTTAAGCAAAGATAGGAGGGTAAATATTTTGATCCACAAAAGGATCACTGATTTATATATTCTGAATCTGCAAAGCTTCTCCCACACCCCTGCTATTTCTAAAGATGTAGCTTTTTGTAAAACGCAGTCACTCACAGGCTACAAAAGCCCTATTTTCAAAAGCTATTGCAACTGATTCTGCTGAACCTATGACCATGCTTATATAGACATGGAAGAAAAAGAGGCATTTTAAGTGTAAGAAAGATTAGATGACTCAGAACTTACATGCAGGACTTACAATAAAATGTAAACTTGACACCTGTCTTTGGAATGCGATTCACCAAGGCTGCATATCGTGTGAGATTTCTATATATAACAGTATCTGATGCAGATGCCTTCATGTTGCTATTACCCAAACTCTGCACATTCCACACCCAATGTCTCTGCCACTGCTCCCAAGCCTGTCATCTAACAGTGCCCTGAATGTGCAACCTTGTTAGACTACATATTTGTTTCATTGTCCTTTTAACACCACTCTGATCTGCTCAAAAGGAAATTAGAGAAGGTGTAGAAATAACACTTTACTGATTGCACATGGTTCTTTTTGTACTAAAGTACTTCTGTTGATGGTTTTTTTTTCATATTTCATATTTTTTCACACACACATATATATACATACATATACAATGGTACCTCTGATTACGGATTTAAGTCATTTCGGGGTGCCATGCACACCCTGAAAAATCAGTAACTAGAGGCACTGCTTCTGTGCACGCATGCAGAGCACTTCTGCACATACGGCGAAACCTGGAAGTATACACTTTTGAGTTTGCCGCAGTCATAATCCGAAGATTCCGTAACCTGGAGGTTACGCAACACGCGGTACCACTGTATACATACACAGTGCTTTTTTTCTAAAGAAATGTTTAGGGGTACTTTCATTTTGACTCAAGAAAATGACCATTCTATATTTCAAATCGGGGGAAATGAATACAGTAAAGGGACAAAAGTACAAAGATTCATAAAATGTTTAAGGGTATGCGTACCCCTGCATCCCCCCCAGAAAAAAGCACTGTATATGTGAGTGTGTGTGACTTGAGGCCCATTAACTGCAGCGGAACTCATGGCTGTATCCAACTAAGTTATATTCAGAGCAAATCCATTGCAATTAATGGACCTAAGTTAGCCATCTACATTATTTTCAGTGGGTCTACTCTAAGTAGGATTAGCATTAACTAAATAGGATTAGGATCATCGTTTATGCAGAAATAAATTCAGTTATCAATTTGAGCCGACATATGGAACTGCCATATTAAAAGCTTATAAAACTTTATTATTCTTCATAGGAATGCTTTATTTCTTTCAAAGGCTCTTTGGCATTAATATGCACTGGTTAAGTCTGATCTTGTACATCAATTCTGGGAGCAAGGGGTTCATCATTACTGCAATATTATTTAGTCATTAGGTTTAAAGTCATTCTACATTGCCATCTTAAAAAAGCATCTACATCTACCTCTTTGGGAAAATGTATCAAAATGTACCAACCTACAGTACAGTGGTACCTCGCAAGACGAATGCCTCGCAAGACGGAAAACTCACAAGACGAAAGGGTTTTTTGTTTTTTCAGCTGCTTCGCAAGACGATTTTCCCTATGGGCTTGCTTCGCAAGACGGAAACGTCTTGCAAGTTTGTTTCCTTTTTCTTAACACCGTTAATACAGTTGCGACTTGACTTTGAGGAGCAACTCATAGCACGCGGTGTGGTAGCCTTTTTGAGGTTTTTGAAGACTTTGGTGATTTTTGAAGCTTTTCCAAAACTTTTCTGACACCGTGCTTCGCAAGACGAAAAAAATCGCAAGACGACAAAACTCGCAGAACGAATTAATTTCGTCTTGCGAGGCACCACTGTACAACTTTTTTCTAACAGGTTAAAGAGGGTAAGAGGTGTTTTAGATACATGCTTCTTGGGATCAAGAATACGTTACTGCTAACATAGACTGGCCATGTAATATGGCAAAATACTAATGTCGCTGTAGCAGTTCAAAGTTTTAAGATAATGATATAGATAACAGTTGAATGAGTGGCCCTATAGTGGCTGTGGTTCAACAGTCATCTTGCTCTGTGAGGAGGAGAAAGAGAGAAAGATGGAACACCCTGGAGAATTGACATCATCCAGCTCTCGGTGTTTCAGCTGGGGAGACCTCTCCCACTCCCAACTACCACTATAGACAAACTCAAGAAGCACCTTGCCCTGAAGGTAAATGGGATCTAGCAGTCACAGGTTTCTACACCCCCCCAATAGCTTGTCTGTTGTTTTTAAATTTTATTTATCTTACAGTTTTAATACTTTTATATAAACCCCTTTGTGAGGTCCGCTTGAAAAGCAGTATATAAATAATGCAGCATTAGATACAAAGAGTAGAACAGAATGCCGACCACTCACAATGGATCTGGAAATGGATACACACACACACACGCTCACACAACCCACGTGAGCTCACCTGAGTAGCTGCAGACTGACAGGGAAACGAAGAGGACGACGACACAACAGGAATGTCAGACTGGACAGCCGCCACAGTGGTAGCAGGTGTAAAAATCAGCTGTGGAAGGTAGCAAAAAAGAAAATTGAGACACACACTGTACCATGAATGCACACAAACAAACAAAAGCTTAGATAGGAAATTCTCTCAGGTTTTTGTTTTTAAAAAAAAGCTGCCAAGATTTGCTGCAGTATTCCAGAATAATGCAGCTTTCCAGCCTTTCGCCAAGTAGCTCAGCCACAGGAGAGGTAAAGCAGAGAACAGCACCAGGACTGCAGGGAGTGGAAAGGAAGAGTTTTAACCCTTCCGACTCACCTGCAATGTTCCTGATGGAAATCCCTCCTTCCTCAGAAGCTGCTCTTTGCATCGGAACACAGAGAGGAAAGGGAGGCAAACAACTGATTTGCTCACACTCTCCAAAATGAGGGAGAAACGCAGAACCAGCAGGTCCCTGCATTAATTTATTTATGTGGAGTTGCAAAGTGATATCCAATTCCAAGGAGAGGCAGAGAGGCCAGTGAGATCACCAAGCCTTTTCAAGGGATGGCACATTAGGAATCAGCAGGCTTGACCGGGAATGGAAGAAGCACATGCAACAAGTCCACAAAAGCCATGACCAGAGGATGACAGAAGGAACTGTAAACTGGGCCATTGGTGTTGCATCTCCATATACATCTGAGACATGACTGGTGAGGAGCTGCAGGCAACATCTCTAAAATCCCACAGGTGAAAAAACACAATCTCGGGGATGTCTACAGCAGGAGATGGTGTGCTCCCTTCAGAAATATTTCCCACTATCCTAAGTGTAGCAAGAAAAGTAGCATAGTTATTTTAATTACAGGCCTGAACCAGGTAATCCCCTAACAAAACAAGCAAACAAACAAAAAACAAAACACTTGCTGACCCCACAGATCATCTTTGCCAACTCTTTGTTCCTTCAAATCAATTATTCTAGTCATGCCCCACAACAAACGTCATCAAAGAGATTGATTTAACAAAAACAGAATAGCGTATTTCCCCCCGTTAATGCTTAAAATCATTCTCAAAGAGAATCATCAGGAGAAGAAATCAAAAAGGCTCAACACCACAAACTTTTTTTTAAACAGTTCTTTGCCAATGATTTTACACATCATTTTCAAAGGTTTCCAATTCATACTCATAAAAGTCTTTCACTCATAAGGAACTGGGTTTAAAGATAAACAATCATGGAACCAGCCCTGGTGGATGAACATCCTGGCCTGATGCTACTTAAGAAGCAGCTTACTCCATTTAGTATCTAAGAAAAAGTTATACAGAGGAAGTGGATCAGGGGTATTCCTGCCCATGCAACAGTATGATATCACACAATGTGGAGGGCTAGCCAAAAGTTCTTCCCTTAATATACTCCAACTGTTCTATGGCACTTTCTTCTATATAGAACAGGGGTGCAGAACATATGGCCCAGCACAAGTCCCAATCTGGCACATGAGGCTATTTCCCCAAGCCATTTCCCTCTGCTACACAGCTCACATCACATGTGGAATCAAGTGTGGGTAAGCAGCAGCATAGCTGCAAAAGAACAAACGGGATCCCCAGTTTTTCCTTGACAAGCGAGGCTTGTTGTCTTAACTATGGATTTGCTTAACCATCATTTGTTGGGTTACCCTACACCAGATGTTCACCAAGCTACAGAGGAAGAGCAGCTGGAAAACAAAACTGCTGCCAGGGCTAAGTGACTCTCACTTGTGTCCGTCCTGAAAAAGCCCTACTATAAACACCAGACCACATATACTTTGCAAGCAGAGGGAGTAATTTAAAAGGCCCATTCTTCTACTTTAACAACATCTAAGAACATAAGAAGAGCCTCCTGGATGAAGCCAATGGCTCATCTAGTCCAGCATCGTGTTCTCACAGCGGCCAACCAGACGCCTGTGGGAAGCCCACCAGAAGGATTCGAGCACAAGGGACTCTCCCCTCCTGGTTTTTCCAGCTACTGGTATTCAGAAGCACTGCTGCCTCCAACTGTGGCAGCAGAGAATAGCCATCTTAGCTAGTAACCACTGATTGCCCTCTCCCTCCATGAATTTGTCGAATTGCAAGATGCAATTACAAAACTTAACTGCTAAATTACAGTCACTGTTGGAAACTCAGAAGGGGCAAGGAACCATTAGCCACGAAACAGAAAAGAACAACTAAACCTTAGCAACCATTCAAAAAATAATAATAAAATATAAACTAGCAAGACTTACCATTTGGGCTCGGAGGTACATCTGAGCCTGGCTTGCAGTCAGAGTAGGAGAGGTGCTCCCCAGAAGCATGGTCTGTTGGGTAAGACTGCTGCTACTACTGTTGGACGTCTGTGAACGGCTTATTAGCTGCGCGGGTGTAGGAGAAGGAGAAAGATTAATCTATGGAAGCAAAAATATTGTTTTATTAACTACCTTCATTCCACAATTTCAAAAAGAGCCCCACAGAAAACAGCGGAACTTGCTTCCAAGTAAACATGTGCAGGGTTGCCAGGCAATATATTGGACTTGCAGTTGTACTCTGCAGCACAGAATCTAGGTTTGTAAAAAAAAGTATATGTCATCTGTCAAAGTTGCATCCTTAAGCACCTGTTTGTTCATCAGGAAGATCATTGCGCAAAGCCATAAATTTTAAACTATTGCTAACATGTTAAGAAAAATGTTTAAGTTTAAATATGTAACTTAAACAGACACCAATTCTGATACAGCAGATCTTGCGTTTATCTTCTGATACACTTGATCATAAGGAGGTGTTTCATTTTTATACTAGAGTTTAAAATTATGATTGCAATAAAATGTTCAGCCACATTGCAGAAGATCTGCCTTCTTAGATTTGCCATTTTACCTTTTCCAAATTGCAATTAAAATGTCCAGAATAAGGCTTAATTTAGCCCACACTAAACTCAACGTGTTATTAGTAACTGGCGTTATCCACCTGTAAAAGTTATGGACACTTATGCTCAAACATTATTATTGATTAAGCCTCTAATTGGTATTCTGCAAAAATTTCCTGTTTTAAGAGATCTGGCAAAATCCACACAAGTACAATCCATGTTATTCTTGCAAAGCACAATGTCAGGGGGTCACCATAGAGCTTCTTCAATGGCAAATTTATATTTATGTGTTTGCTATAATAGTTGTTTTTCAAACTATTAACGCACTGAGATTCTGTTGCGGACAATTTTTAAAATTGAAGCTTCTGCTCCTCCAGCTATTTGCATGTAAATGTGATCACACAGCTGCATTCCTAACTTTCCGAGAACCAACATGGCAACTTAAGCTGGGTTAAAAGAAAGCACTTTGTTTCGCTACTTACCGATGTCTCCGACATACTTGACTGCTGAGTGACACTGCCATTGGGGGATGCGCACTGCCTCCCACCTGACAGGTTTGCCTAAATAGCAAGCACATCTGTCAAATGTGTCATTTACACTGCAATAAAAAGTATTTAAACAATGTTGAATATGATAAATTGAACATCTAGGCTCAATGGCATTTGCTAGGCAGTCCCATGCTCACATGAAACCCACAATGGTTTTCTCTGTGGCCTGCAGTCTCTTTAACCCTGCGGCCAACTCTCTACTTTTTAAGAGGCTGCCAAGTGCCGGATCTGTTATTTTCACTGTCCTGTCTAGAGACCCCAATGAAAGCTTTAGTTAGATGATGGGGCAGGTCCTGTTTAAAAGTCACACATATTCAAAAGAGGATCTAGTTATTGTTATTAGATCAAACTTCAAGAGCACGAGACTCTTAATTTCAGGGTTGTAGGCTCGAGCCCAAGTTGGGCAAAAGATTCCTGCACTGCAGGGATTTGGACTAGATGACCCTCATGGCCTCTTCCAATTACACAATTTGATGACTCTTACAATTTTGTGAAGGGCTACACCCCATGGCAGCCATTTTGTGGGAGGAGCAACAACACTTCCAAATGCTCACAAAGGCCCAGAAAGGTTAGAGACCCATGATTCATGGGAATGTCACAACCAAGAATGTGATATCAGGCTAAAATTGGCGCATTAAATATACATCTCTGATTAAAAACTGACCAGTCACATAGTTAAAATGATTTTGCAAATATTAATTTGATTATTTTGAAGTAGCTGCTGAACTAGCTTAGTCTTCTGTTCCAGATACCCTCTTTACAACATAAAATTGCAAAGTTGAAAAGTCTTTTTAAAATATATCCCCTTGGACACAACAACACGGTATTGGTTGGCGGTATGATGATCTAGAAGGAGAGAACACTGTCCCTTTTCCCTAGCTGAGCCTTATGCTGCCAGGTAAAATTGTGAACCGAAGCTCTCGCTGATGATTAAAAAACCTGGGGTAAAAAAAAAAATCTGTCAAAAACTGTCATTAAGACGAAAGCAGTATCCTGATAATGCATTTTGTGGCACTTTAAGCTTAATTCCCAGATGGTTGCTGTATTTTCTATTTCAATCTCACCTGTGGGACACTGGCCAGGCTCTGGAACTGGGTGCTACTTAAATGCTGTTGTTGCAAAGCAGCTGTTTGTAACATGAGATGCTGCTGCTGAGCTGCATACATCTGCTGAAGATACTGCGCTGCTGAGCTTGGCGGACGATGCAAGGCCTGCTGAATAACCTGTGGATTTTAAAGTAACATCATCACAGGAACAGAAATAGAAAACGTGCTGATGCTAGCACATTAAACCATTCAAGAACCTGTGGCTGGTCAGATATACAGAATGCATTTAAAATTACCGTACTTTTCGCCCTATAGGACAGTGTTTCCCAACCTTTTTTGGGCAAAGGCACACTTGTTTGATGAAAAAAATCTCGAGGCACATCACCATTACAGCCCCGTGACGTCAGCGCGCAGCGTCACGCCGGGAGGGAAGGGCGCCGGGGCGCTGCTGCTGCCGCCGCCGCTCCCGGCAGGCATGGGCCCAGCTGAGGCGGCGGCGGCTGTTGTGGTGGTGGCGGCGATAGCGGGCGGAGGAGGGGGCGGCGGCGGGGCCGAGGTGGCCGGCGGCGGCGGGGGAGGCGGCGGCGGGTGGAGCAGGAGGGCGGCCGAGGCCGGTGAGGGAGTAAGGTTGCCTGGGGCTTGAGGAGCCGTCGCCGGGAGTTGCTGCTGCTGTTGTTGCTGCTGCTGCCCGGACATGCCGGCCTCCTCCTCGTCCGCTGTCTCGCGCTCCTCCCTTTTGCGCGCGCTGCCCCGCCGCCGCCCCATTGGCCGGGTCCTGTCAGCTGATCCTGTGTTATTTCCTGTGTGTGTGTGTGAGGGGAGAATGGAGAGAGAAACCTCGGCACCACCACCGCGGAGCCGCCCCCGGCTCGACGCGGATCCTCGCCGCCGCCGCCCCGCCTCTCGCCGCCCGACTCGCCCGCCTCCCTCCCACGGCACACCAGGCAACGTCTCGCGGCACACTAGTGTGCCGCGGAAGACCGGTTGGGAAACACTGCTATAGGACGCACTTTTCCCCCTCAAAAAATGAAGGGGAAATGTGTGTGCGTCCTATGGGGTGAATACAGGCTTTCGCTGAAGCCTGGAGAGCAAGAGGGGTCGGTGTGCACCGACCCCTCTCGCTCTCCAGGCTTCAGGAAGCTCTGCGCAACCCTAGGGAGCCCGGTGGGAAGCCGTGCCGGGCTCCTGAGGGTTGCGCAGAGCTGCCTGCACTCCCGGGCTCGGCGCAGCTCTGCGCAACTCTCAGGACCCGTTCTGGGGGCTGGGGTCGGGGGAAGCTCGGCTTCCCCTGCCCCAGCCCCGCGCCTGTGGGGGGGAAAAAATAATTTCCCCCCTTTATTCCCCCCCCCCCAAATTTAGGTGCGTCCTATGGGCCGGAGTGTCCAATAGGGCGAAAAATATGGTAATATACATCAACTCAACAGTGACCAGTAATACACGACTGCCATAAATTACTTTATGGATGTTACCGAAAAAGCAGATTTCTTCTCCCACAAAAGGACTTCCCCTCCTTCTCCACTCCCTGCCCCCCCCCCCCCCGCACTTTGAAAGAGGCTTAGTTGACTGTCAACTTCCGGAAGCCCCTTTCAAAGCACCATCTCGTGGACCACATTGAAAGGGGCTCTGGAATTGTGGGGCAAAATCATCATTTGATGTCTTGCCCACCTGTCGAATCTGGAATAGGTTGGAGAAATAAAGATCTGGATTGCCAGCCAGATCCAGTTCCCCGCCAGATATACAGAAATCACCATTGCTTGTCAGGGCTTTTGAATCATCCGTATTTTTTAATTATTATTGTTAACTACAAAATACCTGCACAGCATGTCGATCTGCACCACTATAGACAGATATCTGAGGTGGCTGAGTACGGGAAGGGGAGGATGTGGTGGTGATAGTAGTTGTGCATGTAGAACATGTTGTTGTGCTCGGTTCATTCTCCATAGCTGTGAAATTATTCTTCCACCTGGTAAGGAAAAACAAAAGAAAAACCAACGGCTCAAGGTAAGCAACATCCTAGTGTTTGGAAACCAGAGAGGAACATAGAAGCTGGTGTGATTCGAATAAGAAAGTGTGCTGGGCATTGCCCTGGGAAATGCAAGTTCAAATCGTGGGTGATCCAAGAATGCAAGTTACAATCGCTTGCTTGCAGCTCTGCATTTGCAGAACAAGAAAATGGCTTGCCTCAAAAAGACTGCTGTGGCTTTTACTTCAGGAAGGAAATCACACCCATTTGAAGACTGAGAGAGGGTGTTACCAGAGTAAGCTATTCAAACTAGTAATTACTGAGTAAGTTTATTTCAGAGTCATAATATTAAAGAAACAAAGTGAAGTTGCCTTATTAATTTGCACTGTACACCCAAAAAGTAACAAATAAAGAACTATTCCAGTTCTTCTGAGCCTAGACTACCTCAAAACCTTTTTTAAAAATCCAGAAGGGATTTGCACTTGATTGGGAATTCTAGATTCTCGCATGGTTCCAATTTCTGAAAATGGAGCATTTAAGAGCATTTTATTTGACCAAATTCATGCCTGCTGTCTTAAGAAATGCCTTTATGGAGCTCAGATGAAGTGATGCCCACAGCAGTCTTGGATAGCCACTACAATAAGGTTGTTAATCTGCCCTTTATATCAGGATCCAAGATATCAATTCCTGAAACCTTTGCTAATTCATGGAAGCAGGCTTACTATGGCAGAAATGGTTTGCTTTCTTTTGTATGACGCTAACAGATCTGTGACACATAAAGAGGCGCTTTCTGCTCTGGCTGAAAGAAAGATTGGAAAAAGAGAGGTAGACAATATTGCAATAAATTGCACTGGAGATTCAGAGGTCTAATGGAAGTTAAACTTAGTATGAGCTAGCAGATGATACTTAAGAATTCTTACTTCCTTTCTTTAAATCACTGATGCATTGCATTATGCAACTGTTATATGCTGTATGTTATGATTTGCAGTTTGGCAAACTGTAATGAAATTGTTATGGCCTTTGGTTAATGCAATACATTCTTTGATATGGATTGACCTTTTAAAAAATCATATTGCCTTAGAGGGGAAAATATGATAAAGCAGATACTGCTATTAACTTGCATATGCTGGATGAATCACCCCATTGTAGTGCTGGATTTAGAGGAGACATTTAAATTTCTCCTTTCAGTCTAGCACTATGATGGGGATGTGTGTGTGTGTGTGTGTGTGTGTGTGTGAGAGAGAGAGAGAGAGAGAGAGAGAGAGAGAGAATGTGTGTAGTGTGCTGTGAAATGGACAGTACTGTGTACTTGCATATATGGTGAATGCTGTTAGTGCTGTATGTGTGGCAAGTATGTCTGTGTGCTGCATGAGTGCAAGAGTGCCTTTGGTGCTGGCACACCTGTACAATACACCATGTGAAAGAATATAGATCATTTAACACATAACTCAGCGAGTAACTCAGATACACCTCAGAACGTACACCCAACCAGGAGCTCCAGTTAAACTCAGCTGACAGATGTGCCTGTATCATACGTGTATTCTAAACTACCTGTCTGATGTATCCACACTACAGATTTAAGTATATACTTGAAAAGTAAGAGGTATAACACGAGCAGCAACCCTAGCTGTTCATAAATGGATACCAAGCAGCACGAGCCAATCACTTTGATGGGACCTGCTGGCTAGCATAGTCTATTAAATATAGCTGAAAATTCCGATTTCCAATTTATAAATTCAGACTCTGTCTAGAAAACACAATTTTCCAGTTTGCACCTCTTTGGTATCTTATGCTTATCTAAGTCCTGTATACAGAAAAACAGAAAACTACAGAATTCCTACACTTTTATTAACATTTCAAATTTTATACTACTAAGTCAAGAAAGCTGTTTCTTACTAGTTATAAACATATACATTATATATTACTCTCTACACACCAGCAACTACCAGTCTGCTCATTTCTTTAAAAATCTATACATTATCTTCTTGCATTAAGCCTCAGCATATATGGAAACACTGGTCCAAGGTTGTTTATAAATCTGTCCTTCCCAAGGAGCAGAGAAAGGTGTTCGCCTCAGGACCGCCTATGAGGAAGGATGGGCAATACACTGTGGCCTTTTGAACCTGGGCTTTGTGCATTTGTTTTTCCAGAGACTCTATAACCAAAGGCTGTAACTGAGTGAATGAGGCTAAACAAGCTGATGTTGAATCCGGATAAGATGGAAGTGATGCTTCTGGGTAATCTTACTGCTCTAACAAGGGATGTGTTATGCCTGCGATAGATGGGCTGGTAATCTCTCCATCTGACCAGAGGGGTACCTTTGGATCAGGACACAGCGGTGGTAATGGCCAAAAGTGTATTATCAGGCTCTGACTTGTTTTCAGAGCACTGTTCCACAATTTTGTTTTATGTGGGTTAGGGTTGAAGTTGACTCAGAAGCTACAGTTGGCTCAGGAGGTCTGTAGCATACCTTCTGATAAATATGGGAATGCAAGACATATTGTATACAAGATGAAAACATCAGCTTCAAAGAGTGGGACCATTTTTTCTGCAATTGTCTCAAGGCTGTGGAATGGTCTCCCTAGCAAAGTCAAAAGCCGCTCTCCTCTCATTCTGGAGGGAATGCAAAACTTGCATCCTAGTAGAATTTGGCTGCTGCTTGTTTGTACACAGCAATAATTATGTTTAATGGTGAATTAAACTTTTTGATGCATATTTGTTTTATTGTTTTCCAAATACGGTTTTATCTTGTTTAACGTAACAAAACTTAACATTTGGATAGCACTTTCAAGTGTTCAAAGCACTCCACGTGAATAATTAAGTGCTAACCCTTGCAAAAATAACAAACGCTGTCAGTATTATTATACCCCCACATAGCAGGTGGGGTGGCCGAGATAAGAGCGGCTTCCCTAAGGCCACCTACTGCGAGTTCATGGAAAAGGCAAGAGTCAACTTAAGAGACTTCCTGTTTCGTAGCTCCGTCACGACACCAGCACCTCCCGCATGTCGCTTGGGATGATTGGGGGTGGGGCGTGAATAATTTAAATAAATAAAAACGCACAGCCTGCAGAATCACAGAGCTGGAAGGGACCCCGATACCTAGTCCCACCTCCTGCAATGCAAGAATATTTTGCCCAAAGTGGGACCTTATGTTCTACCGACTGAGCTATTCCAACAGCGGCAGCTTTTCCCCAGAGCAAGAGGGGCCGAGCTTGGTGCAATCCGCACCTGTTGGATTTCCACCTGCTAAGAGTTTTTCATCCATTTTGCAGAGGGAGAAGCCGCTCTGCCCTAACCACTAACACACGCCGCAGGAAAATGCGTAGACACGGATAGATATACAGAAAGATGGATATAGAACTGAAGGGAGCACCAGCTTCCAGCCAACCAGCCAGCAGGGCCCAACCTCCCGCTCCCCTCCCGTCCTTAGGCTGGGCCAGGGCACTCCAGGGGTCGTCCAGCCGAGGCAGCCCTCGGTCTTCGCTGCCTGCCCTCAGAGCGAGGCAGCGCCAGGAGAAACCGGTGTCTGGGCCCAGGACCTTCCCCACTCCCTACCTGACAAAGCCCAAGGGGAGGCTGGGGCCGCCACCCGCGGGCCCCGGAGCCAGCAGTCGCCGCGCAGCAGCAGCAACCCCTCAGCAGGCCTCTCCTTTCCCCGCGCACAGCGCCGCCCGCCCGCGAGAAGACGCGCCCGCTTGGCGTACAGACCCTTCACACCGCTTCCGCCATGTTCTCGCCTCCCTCACAGGGAGGTACCGCGCATGCGCCCCTCGGCCGGGAGGCCGGACTCGGCTCGCGCCAAAAGGTCGCGGCGTAGGAATGGGTCGCGCGAGGATTCTTTCGGCGCCGCTTCGGCCGTCGCTTTTGAAGCGCGAGCCTCTTTGTGTAGTAGACATATGCTGGGTATACAGTTGTGTAAGGCGGCGGTGCGGGTTGCGGGGAGGCAAAAGGATTCGGAGGTGTGTTTTTTTGTTTAGTTTAGGGAAAGGGATGTCTAACAGCGAACGCTGTACATGTCTACTCGGAGGTATGTCCTATTGATTTCAGGTAAGCGGGTGCAGGGTTGCAGTGTGCAGGGGGAAGTGGTAGAGGCTTTTAAAAACTAGTATGAGGTTGTGGACTAAGAAGAAGATGAAGACGACGAAAAAGAGTTTGGATTTGATATCCTGCTTTATAACTACCCGAAGGAGTCTCAAAGCGGCTAACAATCTCCTTTCCCTTCCTCCCCCACAACAAACACTCTGTGAGGCAAGTGGGGCTGAGAGACTTCAGAGAAGTGAGACTGGCCCAAGGTCACCCAGCAGCTGCAGGTGGAGGAGCGGAGACGCGAACCATGTTCACCAGATTAGGAGTCTAGACAGAGCTGCATTCCTATACATACTTGCCTCGTGTGAAAGTCTCACTAAATAGGATTTGCTTCCGAGTAGACATGCATAAGAGAACACATAATATTAAAACTCGCGGCAGGCTAATGAAACTGTGTGCCCTTGTACCCCTGCTTGTGAGTTTCCCTTGAGGCATCTGGCTGCCTAGTGTGGTTCATATATATATTCTAAGCACTAATTAAAATACTTTCATAATATTCAAATTGTTATTATGCACACATTTAGTTGGGCTAACTGAAAAGTCTATAATGCAGCAGATGCTCTTAATATATGCAGTATGATCGCTGCTAGCTGCAAAAGCAGCTGAGATATTAAAAAATGGGTTGTCAGTTATCTCAAATGTGCTACCTGTTCATGCAAAAGTCCTCAAGCTAAGGTGGCTGAGCAGGTGTGGGAAGCCTTTGGTCTTTCAGATGTTGATGAACTACAACTCCCATCATCCCTGGCCATTGGCGTGTTGGAGACTTGTTGGAGCTGATGGCAGTTGCCCTTCAGTAACATCTGGAGGACCAATGGTTGTCTACACCCAACTTGCAGCAATGTAACATAAGCTCCTTTTTGTGTGATTATCAAGTGCAATTCACTTCATGTTTTATATTTTTTAATTTGTATTTGTTTATTAAATTTGTATACCGCCTTTCATCCAAAGATTACGTGGATGTCCACAATATAAAATGAAAACACAAAATTCATAAAATAAAAACCCATAACTCCCCCTCCCACAAACATATTTAAAAGGCCATAGAATATTAATCAAAGGAGTAAATCCCTATGTTCAATGGGACTTACTACCAGGAAAATAGGAGTGCATTGTTAAATACTGTTTTGCTTCTTGTGATTTGAAGTGGAAATAATACGGGGCTCATTTGCTGGCATATTTTTTTTTCCATTCAAAAAAAGGAAGTCCAAAGATTGAATGCTCAGAGCTTTCTACTGTAAACGAGCTCTAATAGTTCAGTTTCTCATTCATCCAAGGTGCACTGCTGACATTTCCAGTCCAGCTAAAGACAAATCCCTAATCCTCAAACAAGCCTAAACGCGTTTGTGCACATACTTGTAAATGTTTGTAACCCTGTTTGGTGTCCTCATGCATCGCAGCGTCATAAATCTCCTCCAAGCTGTAAAATCGGCGCAAGTGTCAGAACGCGCAGGCACGACAAAACACCTGGCACTTGCACAGCGCCGCCCGCCAGCTGCCTTTGGAAACTCCATTACCCAAAATTCTCCGCGGCGCAGGTACCCCTAGCACTCGGAAGTGTCCACCGGATGCTATGGCCGGTACCAACCTATCATGAGGCTCTGCGGAAGTTTCGGTTTAATATGGCTAGTGTCGGAGTTGAGGTCCGACTCTGCAGCGTTTTGCCCAGTATTTAATGCCCTTGCGTGGTGGTACAACCCATTCGCTAGGCACGAAAGAAGCCGGGGTCGAGGCCAGGCCAGACAACGAGCCTGTCCCCAGTCTCTCAGCCTCTGGAAATGAATGGCCTCCGTTTACGCACAGACCTATCCGGGGTGTCCCCTAGCGCGCAAGAGATGGCGTCGTCCGTCTCCCCCGCCCCCCCCCATAAGTCTTGAGAAATAGTTTATCCCACAATTCCTTCGGGTCGCTTCCGCTCGGGAAGCTCCGCGCGTTCTGGGAGGAGGGTGGGAAGTATGGAGTAGGAACGGAACCTTCTCCCTCGCGCACGCGCGCTGAGGCGGCTCGAGCCGAGCGTACGTTGGAGCGGCTCGAGGGAGGGAGCGGCGGCTGGCTGACTGGGGGCGGGCGGGAAAGGGAAGAGTTGTGAGGCGGCGGCGGGTGCGCGCATCTCGCTCCCTCCTCCTCCTCTCCTCTTCTTTTTCTTCTTCTCCTCCCGCTCTTCCCCCTCATTTCTTCCTCTGCCTTCCGCAGCTCCGGGGTGGGGCTGGCAGAGCCGGCGGGCGGGGCCGGGCAAGGCGAGGGGGCGATGCCGACTCAGCGCGAGAGCGGCAGCAACAGCGGCGGCGGGAACAGCATGTCTCTCCCGGGCCTGGGAGGAGGAGGAGGCGGCGGGGGCGGCTCCGGGGGTCTCGGTGGCCCCGGCGGGGACAGCGCCCACCAAGTCCGCGTCAAGGCTTTTTACAAGGGGTGAGTAATTGGCTTGGAGGAAAGCGGTTGTGGGGCGGGGGGGGGAGACCGACGAGACTATAGACTGAGTAATGTGTGGGGCGGTTGGGGGGGGGGTTAGGGCGTTATACTGGGGTTGTGGGGAGGATGAGGCGAATGGAGTGGCAGAGGCGCGCCGCCCTCCCTTACGAGAAATCATTCAGTCATATAGATCAGCTGTCGGTTCAGGAGCGAAGCAGCTCTTGTTCCACACACACAGTTTAATTCGTGGGGTTTTATTCGATGCAGGCGGAGCCCACTGGCTTCGGGGGACGGAAAAGAAGAAAAGGTCGGACCTGACCTTCGCGAAGTTGCCAGTCATAGGTACCCTCCTGTTCAGAAGCACCATACAACCCAAGTACAAGTTGCTTGGGGTGGAGGAAACGGGGAAGGAGGGTTGTCTCCCTGCCCTGCTTGGTGACATATGGCCGAGTGCGGTTGGACATTGAATGCTTTACCAAATTGGATGCTTCGTCCCCTCCGCAGCCTTGGATTTCCAGGTGTTTTCCAGGTGCAGCTTTCATTATCCAGAGCCAGTATAGCTAGTGATCGAGGACGAAGGGAGCTGTGATCCAGCAGCTTGGCTGGGGCGAGATCCAAGGTGGGGGAGCAGAGTTCTTCTCTTGTATTTTCATGAAGTGCAGAGAGTGGCGGAGTTGTATGTCCTGGTTTTGGGGATAGGGAAGAAATGGGCTACACACATGGTAGGCAAATCTTTAACAAGGTGGAGGATTCAGGGATTAAGATACCTGGGAAGAGAGTCTGTAGGAATGGGAAATGGCCAGTGGCGTAAATTTCAAGTGTATGGAATGAGATGCAGGTTGCTGCCAAGGTGAGGGGGTTTGCACGCTTTTGACTTCTATCTGCTGGGTAGCTATGAGAGGTTGGGTGGCAGCACATTATCTAGGCATGGAAATTGTAGCGACAGTTATTATGGGAAGGGCACTGGGGGTTTAATTACTGGGGGAAGAATGTTGGGAAAAGGTAAGATTTATTGCGCCTAGCATGGGGAGCAAATAATGATTCTACAGTAAGGTGATGTGTCTCATGTTCACTGCTCAGGATGCATCTGTGAGGTACAAGAGAGTGCTGTATTGTTATGGGGGAGGGGAACCATGAGTAGGAGGATTGCTCATAGGGTGAGAGAAACATGCAGAGATCAGAATTCCAAAAATGAAGCACTGAAGCTGTGGGAGTGTAGAGCTTCATGAAAGTATTTAAGGAAGTGGATGGAATCTGTGCCATCTTTTGAAATAGAGGGCAACTCAGAAAATAGAGAAAATACAGAAAATAAGGGGCATTTAGCAAATTTAGGAATATGGATTGAAGCTAGACTGTATAAGCTGAATTACCAGCAGTATACATGGTGCAGTAAATTGTGGTTCTCTATTTATGCTTCATACCAGCTGAATGTGGATTGTTTGGATTTTTCTTGGTAGATGTGGCAGTGCATTATACAGTCTCTCCCCTCCCCCAATTTTTGTTGTCTTTTTCTGTGTAGTCACTTGTCTGCAGTAAAATATATTGCAGGTAAGTGATGTATGTCTTGGAAATGTGTGTGAAGGAAATCCATAGGTATTTCAGTTTTTAAAGAAAAAAATCTGCCCTGCTCTTCACCCCATAGTTGCAGTGCAGATTACATCATTTCCAGGGCATATAATAGCAGACCAGTTTCACAGTTCAACAAGAACACAGTTAAAATTCAACAATACAAAATTCATATAAAACTAAAAGCATATTTTAAAGCTGGATGAGCTTCAGTAGGTTAGTTCTTTTGCTAGAGAATACTGATCAAAATTAATATAGATCTGAATAGGAGCTGGTTCTTGAAACTGAATTTTTGAGATTTTCTTTGCTAGAGTTCTGTTAGTATATCTTGCAATGCCAATAGTAGAGGTACTGGTTCAGTAAAATAACGTAAGTAGCAGTGTATAAGAAAGACCACAGAATTGAGTTGTTGGACAAAGATTTAGTTCTGTGGGTGGTGTGTAACTACAGAGTACTTGGAGAACATGATTGCAGCATGCATGAAGCTACGAAGCGTTCCTCCCTGATTTGGTTTGTTTCCCTCTCCCTGGCATCTAGAACTAAAGATAGAAAAGGAGGAATTTGCTTCTTTTGAATATGGTCAATTTTTGTATACTTATAATAACAGAGTATTTAAGAACATTTTGGTTAGGTAGAAAGGATTCTAGTATTGATTTCACTTTCAATTTTTAGCCATTGTTCTCATAGCTGTGGAACAAAGGTGTGCATACCGCAGGGTTTGGGGATCTGTGGTTGGTTAAAGAGAAGTTGCTATCCCACTTTGGAATTGTAGAGTTGGAAGAGATCCCAAGGGTCATCTGGTCCAACTCCCTGCAGTGCAGGAATCTTCGAGAATTGAGATAATTCTTGAATGTTTGACTTAATACTCAGAAGTATCAGTTATTGTGACACAAGGAGTTAAGATGATTTGCTGACTAGATCTCACATGATGGGATTGTTTTTAAGAGGATTTTACTCTTGTCAGAGTTTTCAGAAGCTGATCAAGTAGACCAGCTTTACCCAACCTGATGCCTTCTAAGATGATGTTGGACTATCATCCCTGACAGTTGGCCAGCAACATCTAAAGGGGACAGATGAAGACTGAAACAGACCCTTCCAATTATGAACCCTTTGTATTACTCCTACTTTCATATTATAGGGCCAGCTATACTTTCTCTTACCACGTAAGCAGTCCAAAACTGACTGTGGCCACATGCAAGTTCTGCAGTAAAGCACCCTCTGTTTCTGATTTACAGATTATGATTATTAGAGGCATCATTTTCTGAGCACAGTATTTGTTTGGGCTGATGGGTTTCAGTAAATTCTCTTTCATTGTGTTCATCAAATCCATTTACTAATTGCCATTGGTAAAGCCCATGTGACGTTCATATTCTGCAAAACCAAAGTACACAAATGTATAGTGCAAGACTCCAAGACCTTTTGATTATTTTTAAATATGCTGTAAGCCACTCTGTATGTTTTCTTTTTTTTTTTCATTTTTCTAGAAGTGGCATGGGTAGAATATAAATGTACTTAAATAAAATATCTGGGCTAGTGAGTTCTATTAACTAATTATGTAGACTGACAAAACACTATTTCTTCATCTTAAATATGCCAATACAATTTCAGTACGTGCCTTAAATTGTGATTTTTTAGTGAATGATTTCCCCCTTTTTGCTGTCCTTGTGTTCATGGGCATCTTTTACTCTAGTACCTGCCCTGTATTAAATACATTTAGTATTAATTGATTAAATTGGCAAATGAATAAACTAGTTCTGGAGAGAGAAGCATCAATTATTTGTTTTTGTTGTGCATCATCATCATTATAATATTTATTTATATCCCACATTTTTTTCCTGACAGGGACTCAAAACAGCTTATAGCAGGTATAGTCTTAGAAAGGGCATTTCACATTGTGAGAGTCCAGTAATGTGTATTCTATGATGACACTTGCCACTCTGGTTTTTTAAAATACTTGTGTTTAGAATAAACAATAACAGCCCTGCTTTACAAGTGGGAACACCCTTTTAATTAAAAAAAAAACCTAGATACTGTGGATCACAAAACTATGTTTTGCCTGTTCACAGTTTTGAAGAAAAATGTATGCGTCATGGAACACATTCATGTCTGCTCTCATCTGCTGTTTTGAGAAAAATAATCACATTTTTTCAGACAGTGGTAACTGGATGAATTTTTATTCTGTGAACGTCTCCTGGCAGCATCAGGCTTTATCACACAGCTGGTTCTGTGTATCCTGATACAGGTTCCTGGTCAACTAGGCTTAGTTGTTAAATAGGCTTTCTCTAATATATATATATATATATATATATATATATATATATATATATATATTTAATGCTTCTATTCCCTACACTTGGATACTTTGGATAACTATTAAAATCCAGCTGTTTAGTAGGTCTGTGGAATTCAAATAAAGATAAAGCTCAGAGCTCTCAACAGTGTGATCATTTTTGTTCTGCATTATTAACCTAAGGCTAAGCAGTAAGTCCATGTCCAGTGATTATATATTGCAAAACATGGGACGAATGGAGGCGAGTGACACTGAAATGGGAAAAACAAGGGAAAGAATTTGAGTAGCTAAATGTTCTATTGCTATTCACTGCATTTAAATAGAAACATTTACATTTATTTCTCACCTTTGATTTCTATTGTGCCTAGTATGTAGAGGCCACCTGGAGCCACAGTTTTAAGCTTTCTCCAGAAGAGTAGGCATCTTTGCCACGTTACAGATCATCAAAAGAATGTTGTACCACGAACTTTTTAAATCAACAACATATTTAATTGGTTCGTAAAACGGTCTGAAGAGCAGCCGTTGAGCTAATTATTGGAGGATGACCACTTTGTTTTTCTGCCACTCTCCTTGTTGTCTTCCAATTGTGCTGTTTTCCTTAGGGCTAGGGTCTCGAAGGAAATATTGACAGTAATGGCCATTCTACTCCTTAATTTGTGTGTGGTTTGCTAGCTTTCTGCTTTAAAAGACTAGTATTTTTGTGTTTTTATCCTGTAAGCTGCCCTGCGATCCTCAGATGAAGGGCAGTATATAATTTAAATAAATAAATAAACTAGATCTTTAAGAGTCAGACCTGCATACTCAACTGAACAAGACTGTGTCCAGTTGTGTGTGTTATGCTGATCAGCTGGCCATTGATGTGGCTCAGTTTCATTGTCTTACATCTCTGGATGTTGATAATGAGGAACAAGTGGTATAAAACTATAACATGGTGATTCTTAACTCTAGTATTGATAAATAAGGTAGACAGAAACTATACTTCTACTTGTTTTTTTAATATAAAATGGAGATCACTACCATTTATGGTGGGAATGGTCTAGTATTGGGAGAAAGTTAAATTCATGGTTAATATAAAATTCTATTAGGAAATTATGTTTGATCCAATGTTATATGGAGGGGCCAGTTCCTCGAGTGTGCAAATAAGTGGTGTCTTAAAATTTTACTGCAGGTATTTTTTTGTGGTGCTAGTCAGTTCAAATTCTCATTTTTTCCCCCCATTGGTAAAAGACTAGCTTATTAAGATAGTGGATTTGGGCATTATAGACAAATTAACATATTTTGTAATGAAATAACGAAACAGAGCTACTTCAGAGTTAATTGGAATCTTTATCTGAATACTGTAAAAATGATAAAATTTATTGAAATGAAAGACAATACTCAACATTTTGTTTTTAAGGTAAGAAGTTTCTTGTGGTAAAATAAAAATGTTCTTATGTTTTCTAATTGCATATAAGTTATTCATTCATTCATTTAATTTATGAATCACTTTCCATTTATGAATCACTTTCAAATACAATACAGATACAGACTGGGATTAAAAATTAATTATGTTATGGAAGTTGTTTAGATTTTATTTAGGAAAATTAATTAGTTAAAAGAAGGTTAATGTGCATTCCTTGTTCTGTCTCTGAACATAGTTTATGGTAATGGAAGTAAATATTTGTGGAATGCGCTCCTGTCTCTAGCTTCCTTGAGAATTTAGGTTGCAAGGCAGTGTGTATGGGTTTTACCCAATGACTGATTTAGATCTATTATGAGTAGAGCTAATGTTGGATATATTCCTGTATAAATATTTTAAATAAAAAGTCTAGTGACCTCTTAAATTTATAGTACTGCTTTTGTTGATGATAAAAATTAGCTTTATTAGAACTTTACTGAACTAACCTTTCAGCTCTAAGACCAAGCCTGTTGCTGTCCTTGTAATCATAGTTTAAGTAGGAATCTGTTTTTAGGGCTCTCACTAAGGTAACTTAAACCTCTGTATTCACAGTAGGCTTTCCCAGATAGCTTTCTTAGAACTGTATGCCTTATCTGGCAGACAAGATAGAGGAAAGCACTTCTTGACCACATCACACAATCACTACAGAACTTCAGTGTTTTAATAATATTACTTCTTCAAGAATTAGAGAACTAAGAACACTTGCATTTGCCTCATTCATAACAAAAGGGGCTTGAAAGAAATATTTTAAAGTTTTTATTTCTAGTTAACCATAGAGTCAAAACAGTTGGAAGGTTAAGTAAGCAAACATGTCAAGTCAAGAAGAGCAAACAAAAAAGCCAAAGGCTTTCTAAGGAGGGACTCTTATTGTGAAAATGCTCTCACCATTGCTCACTAAGCTCAGTCTGCAATTTTAACTCTACTTAAAGGTAAAGGTACCCCTGCCCGTATGGGCCAGTCTTGACAGACTCTGGGGTTGTGCGCCCATCTCACTCAAGAGGCCGGGGGCCAGCGCTGTCCGGAGACACTTTCCGGGTCACGTGGCCAGCGTGACAAAGCTGCATCTGGCGAGCCAGCGCAGCACACGGAAACGCCGTTTACCTTCCCGCCAGTAAGCGGTCCCTATTTATCTACTTGCACCCGGGGGTGCTTTCGAACTGCTAGGTTGGCAGGCGCTGGGACCGAACAACGGGAGCGCACCCCGCCGCGGGGATTCGAACCGCCGACCTTTCGATCGGCAAGCCCTACTTACCTGGGGATAAAGTCCTTTGATTTCAATAGGACTTCTAGTAGATATGGTTAGAGCTACACTTTTAATGTAATATGCTAGACAAGACCTTCTTCCTAATATAGAGGAATACTTACAGGTGGTGTTCACTGCAAAATTATTTATTTCTATTTGAAAAATGGCAGAACTGGATAATAGCTCAGTTGGTAGAGCATGACACTCTTAATCTCAGAATCATGGGTTCAAGCAACACGTTGGGCAAAACTTTCCTGCTTGGTTGGACTAGATGACCCTAATGGTCCCTTCCAACTCTACAATTCCGTGATTCTATGATTCTATGATTTTATCTTCACCCGAAATTCTTAACTGGAAGGAAGTTTAGAAACTCTGAACACTGAATATAAAAGTCTAAGATTTCTAGTCTGAAACACATATATTTGGTGCTTTACAATTTTGTTGGGTCTCTAGAGTGAGACCAGTTTAAACTTTGTTTAAAAACTGTTTAGACGTCTGTTTTGTTTGTTGGATATTGAATGCTGTTGATCTTAAAATGTCAGGCAAGAGTAGTATAATGTTGTCATTTGCAGATTGAAAACTTAAGATGTTTTGTAACTGAGGTCACTAATACATGGGGAATTTTCCTTCAGATATTCTATTAACTTCCACCTGGGACTATGAATGCAGTCTATGGCAGATTAGTACATCTGGAGCCAAAATGAGTCACATAGGGTGTTGGTTCATGATCTTTGCATAAATAGGTTAACAAACTGGAATTACCTTTTGTGGAATTAGTCACAGCAAAAGATGCCATCTTTCCCCCAGAGATGGTTGGCCTATAATGATCGGGATTAAACCTTAATTCTTACAATATTAAATACTTTGGATGATAACTAGTGTTAGTCATAATCTGTGTAGACATATTGAGCTCAATGCACTTAAATACAGAAGTCCATGGATTTCACGGGGTTCAGAGTCTGGCTATCACCAATTATACTTATAACATGCTTGTCAAATATATGTTGAGCATTCCATTGAGAAACCTCAAAGAAAAAGGTTGTACAGCTCTCCTCAGACCTTGTTTAGCAGATAATGTGTGCTTTGCAAGATGCTACATGCATTCAATTCTGACATGCTGTTTATTTGTATATTGTTGCTACACAATAATGCTCCTTTCTAATCTACTATTATGGCCAACTGCATTAGCTATTTTAGCACATCACAATAGCCCAGTTCGTATGTCAGATTAAACCAGCATGCTTGTGTATGCTGCTCAAAATTTCTCACTCTGCTTCTCTTCTGCATCTGCTGCTGCTGCTGCACCAGTGATGAACAAGCCAGAGTCCCACTTGTTGTGACATCTGAAACCAGGCTCATGGCTTGTTAGGGGGAAAACATCAAGCCTGCATTCAGACATCTCAGCAAGCCAGAATCTGGTGTGTTTCTTGGCTCAGTAGGAGTGTTTACCATCATGCTTCTAATTCATGTGGAACCATAGTCTTTTGACTGTGGTTTCTTGAACTGTGGTGACCTGTGTGTTATGTATATGGCTTGGTTTCAATCTGTGGAGAGAAAGCAATGGCAAATAACTCATTCCTATTAAACTGGGCTAAAGTTGATACTGTTATTCTAGCTGAATGCGATTATAAATTGTTGCTAATAATTACTGTGGAATAGTCAAATTAATGAACAAGTTCACCAGGTGATTGACTTTCACTCAACATGAGCTAGTTGTTGACTACAGTTTTCACCACTGTAGAATCCTGCTTAAAAATAATTCAGTTCTTGGTTTATGCTGGCTGCACCTCTGCATTAAAAATGGCCATTTGGTAATGATTTAACAGTTGTGTAATGCTTTAGCTAATGGGGCCTCCTGCTGCCACCGCGCCGCAGGAGCACGATTTCTTTTCTTATCCTGAAGCAAAGTTCTTAACCTGAAGCACTATTTCTGGGTTAGCGGAGTCTGTAACCTGAAGCGTATGTAACCTGAAGCGTATGTAACCCAAGGTACCACTGTATTTTAATGCAACACAAACCTATCATGGTGTATAGCCAGACTTGGCTCAGAGATAACAGACCATGATTTGATACATGAGTAAGTTAGCATACATTGACAGCTTAACCTAAGTCTCAAGGTTGTTGTGAAGACAAAATGAAGAGGGAGCTCACTGAAGGAAAGGTGAGAGATAATTGTAATAATAAATAATAAGATTTTAAAGCCCCCTTTTAAAAGTTAAAAACTATTTGCAATAAGAGATATGTTTAGGAGGAAATATAGAAGCTACCAGATTTTGTAAAGTTTGTTCTCATTAGTAAACCCCAACCAGTTCAATAGAACTTAGTTAGAAACTAAGCTCTGTTCAATTTATGCCATAGCTATTCTACTGCCAAATCTGCTCAATTATTCCAAATCCTAGCAAGACCAACAGTCTTACACACCCAACAAGACTGCTAGTGTTTCCTCCACAGTTCATTGTCCCTCTTTTAGCAGCACACTGCCAACACACACAAAAAACTTACAAGGACATATTTTGCAATATTATTCACATTTGTTACAAGTGTTTTATAATGTGATTCTTGCAAGTCATCAGAAAGCCCTATCTTTCAGAGCCCAGAACAGAGGAGATAGGATCCATCCCATGGTTAAAGTTGACTTTAAAATGTCACTGTATGGGATATTCTTGCCAATTGGTCATTTACATGTATATGTAATATAACACTGTGGTCACATCTCCCAGTTGGTTCAACAACACTTAACATCTCTCACTGGGTTCAACATTTGCATTTCTCAACAATGACTGGAACACATATGAATCCAGTCTGTGTGAGGGTAGTTGAAGTCACCCTAACTACAAAATTTGCCTTTTTGGATGCTTCTGTGAATACATTCTGCATCTCAAGTACGAAATGTGTAGCCATTAATTTTTTTCATTAGACTTGAAAATGTAGGGTACTTAGAGCTTGAGAAAAATATAACATGTATAATTTGTATGGGTCTCTTACAAACAGTTACTAAGTATCCACATTTTATGGGAAATACTTTTCTATAGTCTCATTAAATACCAAGTATTACTTTCTAAAACCTGAATGATGCCAGGGATCAAATTAGTTAAGAGAAAATGATAGTCTGGTTAGGCTGCTAACTATTTCTGTGGACCAAGCAGTGTTGTAGAAATCACGAGCACCTTAACAGTTGAGGTTGATATATAAAACAGAAGTTCTTTTTCAGTCATGTGCCGGTGTGTTGCTTAGAAACTGAACTTGTGCGCTAGACCTGGCTTAGATAGCAGGATAGACATTAAGAATAACGCATTCAAGACTCAAACATACAGGTAAACGAATGCATGTTCATTGACAGATGGAAGCAAACAGAGTTGATGCAATATAAATAGGTCCTTAGTTCTGAAATTAATAGACCATTTGTTTGGACTCTTTCCAGTGACATTATGATAACCTACTTTGAACCTTCCATCTCCTTTGAGGGATTGTGTAACGAAGTTCGAGACATGTGCGCCTTTGATAATGAACAGCTTTTTACTATGAAGTGGATCGATGAAGAAGGTAAGATGATACAAAGCAGAACTACATATAATACTAGTATCTTCTACCCAGTGCTTTTTTCTGGGGGGAAGCAGGGGTACATATACCCCTAAACATTTTGTGAATCTAAGTATGGCCTCATTAAGGGGCAGTATTTCAATATGAGTTGGAAAATGAGAGTACCCCTAAACATATTTTTTAGAAAAAAAGCACTGCTTCTACTTAATATCCCAGCTTTACTTCCCAGGAACAAAGTAGAAAGCATTTCATTTCATCTGTAGCCTCTATTTGCCAACAAAGAAAGAAAGAAAGAAAGAAAGAAAGAAAGAAAGAAAGAAAGACCATAGCAGTCTATTTGAACTCTTTCATGTGTCAGATGTAGGCATGTCAGTTTTCAGAGCATTCCAACTATAAACATGGAGAAGGAGAACTCGAGACATCTTAGTACTGTATAAAGTGAGAAGTTTTAAGATTCTCTGTTCTTTAGGGCAGTAAATTCAATATGCTAATCTAGTTCATTGTCACCAAATTATATGTAATATGAACCAAGAAAGATCATATTCCTTTCCTAAGCTTTGGTATTGATTTTTGCTGTTTCTGTCATGTGTTTTGATTGTGTCTTATGTAAATGCATTTTCAAGAAATGCCTTCCTTAGTTATAGGTCACTTATTCTTCCAAAATAGCAAACTTTTTAACTATTGCCTGCAGAGGAAAAAAGCTTTCCTGTGTGCTTGTTAGTAAGTTACAATAAAATCATTAGCTCAAGCTGCTGTGGAAATGTACCACAGTTAAGTTTTGAGGGGGAGTATAGAGAAAGAGTGTGCCAGGGAAAACAGATGCAAATAAAATTACAGGATTGGAAAGCTGCAGAACAAGTTCCTTATTTTCCCAAATGAAATGCAATGTAAACTTCCTGGTATTTAATCTCAGCTCAGAGTTCCTAGTTCAGTAGAGAAATTATGTGAATTGAAAGTATACTATCGTTGAGTTTCTTTATTTGCATTAGTGAAAGTGACCTAGACACCAGACTGGATTGCAGCCATTGCTTCCATATTTTCCCACTTCTTTGCACTCATGAGAGCTAGAGTCCTAAGTTTTGTAACAAAACTAAGATTGTAGGGTTGAACAATAAACACACCCATGAGTCCGCATACCTGATGTGTTACACTTAATGTAATGGTTTTTGTAGGTTGTGAGTCATTGATGATGTGTTCATACTGGAGTGTAAGAGCACAATGTCATCTTCATTTGACTGTTCTTCCTGTTTCCTTCATTCTGAAAGTAAGGATTTTGTTGAGATGGTGAGGTGGAGCAGGCAACTTTTTAACCTTGGCACACCTAGAATCATTGTTATACAAAGTAAACATTAATTCTGGTAAGCACTAAATATCCTCAGGCATACTTAAGAACACCTGCCCATATTTCTTTTCTTTTTTTGTTCTTTGTTTTGCTAAACTAGTACCACAATTGTTTCTTTGCTTGGCTGAAGAAAAACAGGTTTGTTCTCTTAGTGTCCTTGAATGAAAACTTTCTTCTTTAATTGCAACAATTCATTTCTGTGCAATATTCAGTGTCTGTCTTAGATGCCCTTGTTTAATCAGTTTTGAGCATAGTACAAAGGAAGAGATGTTGTCCTTTAGCTTTGGGTGCCAGTTGTATCTCAAATGACTTAGGATGAATTCCCAAATATACAAATGGTATTTAGGATGGTGAAAAAGATATTTTTTACAGAAATTGTGAAGTTTTGATAAAAGAGAGCCATTGCATCTCAAGAGAACCATTTCACATAGTATTATGTATCTGTAAATACATTCACGGCCTAGGACCCTCGTACCTACGGGACCGCCTCTCCCGGTATGCCCCACGGAGAGCCTCAAGGTCCATAAATAGCAACACCCTAGTGGTCCCGGGCCCTAAGGAAGTTAGATTAGCTTCAACCAGAGCCAGGGCCTTTTCAACACTGGCTCTGGCCTGGTGGAACGCTCTGCCTCATGAGACCAGGGCCCTGCAGGATCTGATTTCTTTCCACAGGGCCTGTAAGACAGAGTTGTTCCGCCTGGCCTTTGGCTTGGAGCCAATTTGATTCCCTCCTCCTCTTTTTTTCCCTTTTCCCTTTCTCCTCCTGTGATGAGGCTGCATTTTAATATTTTAATGTTTCAATATTTTAATAGTTGTATTTTAATCTTGTTTTTAAGTTATATTCATTCACCGTGTTTTTATTATTGCTTGTTAGCTGCCCTGAGCCTGGCCTTGGCTGGGGAGGGCGGGGTATAAATAATAATAATAATAATGATTAATTATTATTATTATTATTATTATTATTAAATCTGAGTTTGCTGATATTGTCAACAAAAAGTTGTTATCAATCACAGCTCTTCAGCATGCATACATGTCTGCAAACTTGTTTGTTACAGTCATTAAATGTTTGCATGTAAAAATCTTAATGTGTGAAATGGCTCTGAAAAAAAGCTAGTTATTCTTTGTGTAGCTGTGAGAATAACTTTAGCCAGCCTTGAACACAAAGAAAACCCTACTGGATCAGGCCCATGGCCCATCTAGTCTAGCATCCTGTTTTTTCTGGTGGCCAGCCAGATGCCCATAGGAAGTCTGCAGGCAGGGCATAAGAACATAAGTTTTCTCCTGTTCTTGTTCCTCAAGCGGCATGCTGCCTCTGATATTGGAGGTAGTATACAGCCATCATAACGAGTAACCGTTTGAAGCCCATGTCCTCCATGAATGTAAGCCTTGCAAAGTTTGTTTATGGCTTCTTTTATTGGCATATAAAATAGATTAAATCTGCACCTATAAATCTCAAAGGATGGGAGTGGGGAGGAGGAAAGTTTTCTCGAGAACTATATTCTTTTTAAAAGACTCACTCTATCATAGAAAATATTGTGAATCTGATATGCTAATGCAACTTCAAGAAACATACTTTTAGAGGGAAATTGGCACATATTTAGTTTATCCAGTGAATGTGGGGGTGTGATGACAGATTTTGTTTGCTAGGCTTAAGTCAAAATATTTTTAAAATAAACAGTTCATAATTTTCCTTCTTTAGATTGGAAAGCAATTAGGTAGTTTCTCTGAAATCTGAGCTGACATAATCAAGAACTCCAAAGAGAATATTACCCTTGGTTGTAGGAATATGTTAAGGAGCAGCTTGACTCAAGTTGAGTTGTATTCATTGAATGAATTCATTTCTTTCTAGGGGATCCATGTACTGTTTCTTCTCAGCTGGAATTGGAAGAAGCTTTTCGGTTGTATGAACTAAACAAAGATTCAGAACTCCTAATACATGGTAACATGGTATAATACTGTTTTTGTGTGTGTGTGCATGAGAGAAGGAGGGAGAGAGAGGAAGGAAGGAAGGAACATATTCTTCAGCCTGCATGAATGACCTCTATTTTAATATTTAAATGTTCATCAGCTTTGTTTTTTAAAAACACTTGTGTGCAAGGACTGAAGGAGCAAGTTACCCTTGTTTAGGGATATTTGTTTTGCATACCATATTTGTCCACCTGCCTTCTTGCCATGCAAAAGGTTTTCTGGGGAGGGAATAAACAAAATATTTTTAACTATACTAGACATCACTTTGGCACATCCACTCCTGATTTGAGGAGTGGAGAATACACAGGCTTTCCTCATTAGTTTTTTGTTTAGTGCTAATGTCTTTTCAACTACAGTGGTACCTCGAATTCGTTCCGGAGGTCCGTTCTTAACCCAAAACCATTCTTAACCTGAGGCACGCTTTCGCTAATGGGGCCTGCCACTGCGCCGCCGGCGCACAATTTCCATTGTTATCTGGGGGAAAGTTCTCAACCCAAGGTACTACTACCGGGATAGTGGAGTTTGTAACCTGAAGTGTTTGTAACCCAAAGTGTTTGTAACCCGAGGCACCACGTAGTATAGCGGTACAATCCTATGTCCAGCAGGAAGGATGCACATTCCTTAGTGTAAGAATTCAAACCAGCCCCAATCATCCATTGGATGCAGAGCAAGATGACAAGGGATTCTATAAACTCACTGTCCCGTTGGAGCAGCATAGCTTTCTTTGTACAGTGGTACCTTGGGTTACAGACGCTTCAGGTTACAGACGCTTCAGGTTACAGACTTCGCTAACCCAGAAATAGTACCTCGGGTTAAGAACTTTGCTTCAGGATGAGAACAGAAATTTTGCTCCGGCAGCGCGGTGGCAGCAGGAGGCCCCATTAGCTAAAGTGGTGCTTCAGGTTAAGAACATTTTCAGGTTAAGAACAGACCTCCGGAACAAATTAAGTACTTAACCAGAGGTACCACTGTATTAACAGTACTGCACAAGAGTGGAATGAAGCACTGGTGACTTAGCCCCCTAAACATCTCCTGTGCTGGGACTAATCTGGTGCTAGCGTTAGGATATGAAAAATAGTTGTTCCTTACACGGGCATAAAAATTCTGCATTCTATAAATGCTACTCCTTCATGCTAGTGGCTTATAGAATTGGGATGACTTAATTGTGTTTACCTACAGAATATGTGCCCACTTGGCATTATTAATCCCTCCAAATAGTTATCTGAAAAGTACCTTTTGTAATCTGAAACCATAGCCTTGGATTCTGAGAGAAGTTAACTTAAGAAAGGCCACAGAAGGGCAGCTTCCCATCTCCTCTCCCCTCCAGCTGCCCTCACCCCTTGGAAAGGTTCTCTGGAGGATTGAGGGACCCTCCTGGTCAATGTTGCATGGGCACAGGGGGCTGCTGGTAGATTAGAAAGTGTATCAAAGTCTACCCACTTTTGATCATCCTTCACATTCCCTTTCAGTGACATCCTAGAGAGACTTTGGAGGGGTTGTAACAGGGAAGAGAGAATATAAAATTTTCTTTTCGAAACTTCCTTCAGTTAACTTATACCAAGATCCAAACACTAAAATCCTGATGTGCAAAACATATTTTTATTCTAGAGTAGATACTTGTTCAAATGTGAATTATGGAACAGTGGTTCAGATTAATTTTCCGTAAAGGTGCCCAGATAAAATGCTTGTTACGAGTAAAGTTCTGGTGTACTTGAAACAACTGTTGTCTTCGTGACTATTTCTGTCGTTACAGATTTTACACTTCTTGCTAGTAGGAAGTTGAGTGGGAGAAATATAAATGCCATGGATAACTTTTTTATTTTTATATGAATGCTAGTTACCGTTCTGAGGCACTTATGTGATCCATTCTTAACTGAAATGAGTCCTTTAGAAACATATTTGGAGATGGCTTTTGAAATGTGACTTCGTATATGTGGCCTGCATGTGCCCTAGATAACACTGAATGCTCAATTCTCTCCTTTGTAATTTAGGGCCACTGCTCATGCAACCAAGCAGTTTGGCACTGTTTTCTGATGCATATTTTATCTTTTCACATATCATTAAAATAATAGCTAATGCAGTATTACTGATTCCCCCCCCTCCCCCAGTGTTTCCTTGTGTACCAGAAAGGCCTGGAATGCCCTGTCCAGGGGAAGATAGTAAGTACAATTATTTGAAATATGCAGTGTTATCATATTTTTAAAATCTCAATCCTTGTGTTTTTGTTTTTGGATTGAGTTGTTTGTTTATACTTATTAAATATAAATATACCAGTCTTCATCCAAAGATCTCAAGGTGGTTCAAATCAAAATGAGAACAGAAAATAGATAATGAAACAAAAACAAATAACCTCATTCTACAAACACATTTAAAAGGCCATAGAATGTTAATGAGCCAAAGGCCTGGTTATTAAGAACTGTTTTCACCTGCCATCTAAAAATATGTAATGAAGGTGTGAGGCGAGCCTCCCTGAATTTTACCTAAATTAAAAATATACATAACTTTCAATTTTATGACTGACTGGCGAGTACAGTATGGTGGTTAATCAAATAAACTGTGACCCAAGAAACTCCAGTTTAAATCTCACTTTATCTGTGATGTTACTGATGGTGATAGGCAAGCTGGTAACTATCATACAATTATGCTTACACCCAGGATCCATAACATGGGGATAAAAACGCTAGCCAACCTTCAAGGCCAGTTTTAAGGCTTACTGAGATTATGTGATACACAAGAGTAAAAACCTTTATAAATACAAAGTAATTGTTAAATATTTGGGTAATCTATTTACATATGCTTGACTTGCATAATTCTTGAAACTGGGCTCAGTTTGATAGGGACAAATCAAGCAGCCTTCTCTGGAGTTTTTGTGTGATTGTTTCTAATTTCTCCCCCTAGAGTCTATTTATCGTCGAGGTGCACGGCGATGGCGAAAGCTCTATTGTGCAAATGGTCACACTTTCCAAGCCAAGCGATTCAACAGGGTAGGTTTTAATAGACTTTACTGAGACTTCTCTTTCATTTGTAGTTAACCTCTCCTAATAAATATCACCTTTTCGAAATGGACTTTGTCCTCCTGAGATATTAAATGCCTTTTTATTATACGTACTGATAATTAGGAAATGGGCCTTAAAAGATCAAATTTACTTTGTCAGCTGCAAGTCCAATCAGAGTTTATTTAGTTTTCCATATAATAGAACCTCATCTGTAGGACTATTTATTTCTGAGCACCCTGTGGTTTTCAACTAAATGTGCTGCTTTAAAAATGTGCTAAGTCCTTTAAATGGGAGAAAGCTTTGCTCGTGAGTGCTTATGCTGGGATTCAAAGTATTGGATTTAAAGCCCAACTTCTACAGAATATTGGGCACCCTTATTTGTTAGTATAGTGTACCTACAGATGAGTCCGGTGATCATGGATAATGAAGGATCCTGACAACCAAGGAATGTTTATATAGTGCTTTATAACATACAAAGGGGACGTGGGTGGTGCTGTGGGTAAAAGCCTCAGCGCCTAGGGCTTGCCGATCGAAAGGTCGGCGGTTCGAATCCCCGCGGCGGGGTGCGCTCCCGTTGCTCGGTCCCAGCACCTGCCAACCTAGCAGTTCGAAAGCACCCCCGGGTGCAAGTAGATAAATAGGGACCACTTACTGGCGGGAAGGTAAACGGCGTTTCCGTGTGCTGCGCTGGCTTGCCAGATGCAGCTTTGTCACGCTGGCCACGTGACTTGGAAGTGTCTCCGGACAGCGCTGGCCCCCGGCCTCTTAAGTGAGATGGGCGCACAACCCTAGAGTCTGTCAAGACTGGCCCGTATGGGCAGGGGTACCTTTACCTTTACCTTTTAACATACAAAGTGCTTCACACATAGTAACCACCACATTGAGACAAGCGTATTTCTGTTTAATAACCCAGGAGATGAGCCACCCTTTCTCTGATGCATGCAGCCCCTTTGACTTGTCCCTTCACAACATAAGCAGTCAGTCCTGGAAGCCTCTAAATAATATTTTCCTATTCTAACTGAAACAGGAAAATGTGATTGCCAAAAGAAGCCAGGGTATTAAACCAACTTCATATCATATCAAGCACTCTTGGATGAAACTGATTATCTTGACCCATTTTAATCTGGCTTCAGACATGGTTATGGGACTGAATGAGCCTTTGTAGCTCTGCTAGATAACCTTCATCACAAGGAGAACAGAAGGAGTGAAACTCTTTTGTTCTTAATTGATAATTTTTGTCAGTGGTTTTTGATAACCACTGGCACTTGTATCCTTTTGAACCAACTCAGTGAGATGGGTATTGGAGGTGCTGTTTTACAGAGATTCAACAAAACTTAAAATTGGGTATTTTTTATGCTCAGAATTTGTTATATATATTATCATTTAATCAGATTGGTTATCTCATCATTGCGTTATAAAAATGTATATATAGTCAAAAAGCCAGAGAATAAATGAAGAGGGGGGAGAGAAATATATATATATATTTTAAACCAAATTAACAAAGCTGAGCATTTTAAATGTATGTAGTGGGGAACATAATTTTACTATGAGAAAGCTAGAAAAAACACAAAAAGAGCACTTGTGAGCTAATTACTTTAACCATAACTTCAGAGCAACAGGTTATCAGATTTTTCAGTGTGGTATTTTGTGAGTAGATACCCTATTGCATGAGTCGTAGTTTGAGACTATCTAGATACTGTTAGTTAATAGTCATTTGCCTGTTTGTTTTTCAGAGAGCTCATTGTGCCATCTGCACTGATAGGATATGGGGATTGGGACGCCAGGGATACAAATGCATCAATTGTAAACTCCTCGTTCACAAAAAATGTCACAAACTGGTCAGCATAGAATGTGGCCGACACGCATTACCACAAGTAAGTGATATTGATAGCTATAACCTTCTCCAATGTGCATATAAATACACAAGTATACATAATGATTTTACTAAGACTGTGATGGGGACCTGGGGTGGGATTAGCCTAACATGCCCCATTAGTGTAAGCCCTGTGCTAAGACTCCCACATGCAATGTGGCTTCTTCCCCATATCCCCCAAATAGGCTCTGGGGGTTGGAGAACCTCCAGACCAGTGTGCTGGGGGAGGTGAGGGGGTGGTTCTGTTTGACAAGCTGATAAATTTGTACAGATGGAACAACTGGAAGAGCACAAAAGCTGAATGCCACACTTGAGTTTCACTTCTTTGATTCTGGTTTTGATTTCTGATGTTGCCGCACTAAAATATAACACAGCTGGTTTGATTTACTGTGAAAGTGAATTTAGATGCCAGTATGGGCACTTCAGTCCTGCTTGATTTTGGTAACTAAACGATCCTAGCTTTTGAACTTGAGGAGTATATTTTGAGAACCCACCTCATTTTTGTGATTATAAGTTGTTTTAAACTGTTTTTGATACTGGGTTTTATTGTTGTGATTGTTGTGATCAGGCCTGGGACCTTACTGTGAAGTGTGGGTAATTATTATTAAATAACAACAACAACAATAATTTTGAATGAATTTTGAATTTGTGTTTCAATGAATGAAACACAAAAATTGTGAGGCCCTTAAATTTTGCACCAGACCTTGTGGCTTCTGATCAAAGATTTATATAGTCTGGTCTGTGCATTAATTATTTTGAAGAATGCTCTACTCTGTTTAGTGGGATTTACTCCCAAGTACAAGAGCATAGGATTGAAATCTTAGATTTAGACTGCCAGTTCTGCAGTTTGAGACAATGACATAGCTCCTTGTAGAAAACAGAAAAGTTGTAATCTTATTCTTTGACTTTTTGTAGGAGTCTATGGATCCTTCATCAGTGCATCTTGATAACATGGAACCAGGTAAGAACAGTGCTTTCTGTAATTATATTGAAAGGACCAAATGTGACACCCCCCAAAAAAATGAATTAGCGCTTATTTGCATGATTATTTCTGGGTTTTATCCAACACTGCATGTAGTGTTCCACTTATACAGCAGGACTTTCTTGGAACAGATTTTGAGGGTTCAAGGGAGAGGAAGTGCCATCGTGCAGGCAAAAGTATGCTGCATGAGCAGAATGGCGGTGTTGAATACAATCTTCTATTTTTAAAATCTACTGTGAGCAAGAAGCAAAAATATGTATTCTTCACTGACTTTAAATGAATCATTTACAGTGGTGCCCCGCAAGACGAATGCCTCACAAGACGGAAAACTTGCTAGACGAAAGGGTTTTCTGTTTTTTGAGTCGTTCCGCAAGATGAATTTCCCTATGGGCTTGCTTCGCAAGACGAAACGTCTTGCGAGTTCTTGTGAGTTTGTTTCCTTTTTCTTAAAGTCGCTAAGCCGTTAATAGCCGCTAATAGCCATGCTTCGCAAGACGAAAAAACCGCAAGACGAAGAGACTCGCGGAACGGATTAATTGCGTCTTGCGAGGCACCACTGTATTTGTGATCTCTATATAAAACCATCTTTAGAAGTGTGTTCTATTAACTGCAGGAAACGGGCACAGCCATGCCTACCCATTTAATTTCATGTAATTTACTGTGTGGTTCCCTGTGGATGTACAGAAGATGACTTCGTAATATGGCCGTGTTTGGGATAGCGCAGCAAAATTAATTAATTTGTAGGACATTCTAGCAGACTTTGCCAATTTACCATCTTAGAAGCATAAAAGCAAAGAGGAATTTCTAATCACTTGCAGAAAGGAATTGCATTTACCTGTAATTTTGATATTATCTTTACATTTTTTTACTTTTAGTGATTCCTTATCATCCTTCAAGTCATGAAAGTTTGGACCATGTTGGTGAAGAAAAGGAGGTATTCTAATTGTTTTATGTCTTGGTTTTTTACTTAGTTATCTGTGCATTTCTGGAATACTAAGAAACTTACCTGTATCTTCCAACACGACATAGGCAGGTCAGTTAGCCTATTGTTAATAGAATTTTTGAGGTCAGAAAAGCTCTCAGAGATCTGACAGTATTACCTACCCAGGGCAATTCTATTTAAATGTTTCCATCTACCCATAGGCAACAAGTATTAGAGAAAGTGGTAAAGTATCTTCCAGCCTGGGTCTCCAAGATTTTGATCTACTTCGAGTTATAGGGAGAGGAAGTTATGCGAAAGTACTTCTGGTTCGGTTAAAGAAGACTGAGCGCATTTATGCAATGAAAGTTGTGAAAAAGGAACTAGTAAATGATGATGAGGTGAGTACCGTAGTATTTCTGTTAAATGAACTGTTCTTTAAATTCTGTTTTGTATGAATGGTGGCATATTAATTGTCAGATAACTCCCCTGTAATTTGTGATCAAGTTTGGTTGTATTCAGAGTGGCACTTCTGAGTTTGGTTCCTAACAAGTTAATCAGGTTTTCCACTAATTAAAACTCTGTCAGCAATTTAAAAGATATGGAAATGTTGGACCAAATCTCCTTTCAGGAAGAGCCCTTCCTGTTTATGTATAAAGACAATCTTGGGTACTCAAGGTTAGTCTCTCTGCATTGTGACATGATAGTTTTCTTAAACTATTTCTCAGACTTTTAATACACATCTGTATTGGCAAACCTCAAATAACTATTTGTGCTTAAAGACATTGATGGTATAAATCCATTTAAAGGAAGCTATCACCATAAGCAACTTAAAGACCATGGGGAGTTTAAGCCTGTTTTGAAATTGCATTGTTGTATAATTTTGGAAACAAAATTCAATTGCATCCTATGAATTGCTGAATATGGAAGCAGAATATTTGACTTTAGAAATGGGTATGACTTTCTTCGGGATAATTAAGAATCTTATTATCATTGTCTGGCTACAAGAGCCAGGAAATCATATTTCTGCTTATCTGTTGCAAGTTAATTAATATTAGCCGAAAGTATTACAAAAGCAACTGTTCTGTGTATTTTTATAATAGGATATTGATTGGGTTCAGACAGAGAAACATGTCTTTGAGCAGGCTTCAAATCATCCTTTTCTTGTTGGCCTTCACTCTTGTTTCCAGACAGAAAGCAGGTAATTGTGTAATATGATTTTTGCAGGTTCTTTCACCTGATCCTTTTTATAATAAGCCATTATTTTCCCCCAACACTAAGATATAATTAGCAACATACAGCACTAACACTTATGCAGTTTCATCAAAAAAGACTTGAACGACAGGTTCCTTATGATCAGAGAAGATGGCTGTAAGGAAATCTTGAACTGCAAAAATGATTTTCAAAAGAGAGTTGTTGAACAATAAAGTCATCCGTAGAATAAAGGATAGTAGAATGAAATGTAAAAACAGCATGCAGAAGAGCTGGTTTCTAATTGGGAGTAGGAGAACTATAGTTAATGAAGGTGGAAGGATGGGAACCACGTGTGCAGAGAGATCATAGTCTGCGTTAAAGTTTGAACACAGTACAGATAAGGAGAAAAGCCAGAATGTGCCAAAACAATTGTTTGCTTTTTCATTGAGTGTTCAGAACCTAAGTAAAATGGATTACTATAATAAAGAAATTGCTTAAGCATAGGAAAATACTTTGAGGAGTGGTGAAGTGAATATAATACTTCAGTTCAGGCATCCCCAAACTCGGCCCTCCAGCTGTTTTGGGACTACAGTTCCCATCATCCCTGACCACTGGTCCTGTTAGCTAGGGCTGATGGGAGTTGTAATCCCAAAACAGCTGGAGGGCCGAGTTTGGGGGTGCCTGCTTTAGTTGATCAAATGTCATGAAAACAAAGCTGCATGCAGGAGACACACATGGTGTGATATATTTATTAAAGAAGTTGATAGTGCAAGGTTGTAAAATAGGAAAAGAAGGAGGACGGTGATAAACAAGCCTTGAATCATTTTCTCATCGTGGCCTAGGTGCTGCTGTGTCACATACTTCACTATACACGCCTGTTTACTTACCATGGTAAAACACTAGAGAATATATCCTCAAGCAAACCTTTTTGAGGAAGGGTAGAGTTTGACGAAAAGGGAGTACAGGGAAAATCAAAACACAAGTCCTGAAGCATTTAGCGGAGCTGTACTCCCAACTACCTATCAGTAAAGGAATAAGATTATAAGATGTAATAAGATTTATAGTGTAAACTGCCCATTGATCTGCAGAGGAAGGGTGGCATAGGGCTGTGTTCATGTTGAAAATACCTGCAAAGGGAGAATAAATAGGTATGTTTTATTGATGTTTGAGATGGACTAACCAAAGAGGAGAGGGGGAATGCTCTGAAAGTACTTCAGTTGTTAAGTTTGTGTAGGTGACAAGGTGGACCATAATAATAAAAGTATATAAGAATCAAGCCATTATAGAATTTACTTCTGTGTTCCAGGCTATTTTTTGTTATAGAGTACGTAAATGGAGGGGACCTCATGTTTCATATGCAGCGCCAAAGGAAATTGCCGGAAGAGCATGCAAGGTATGTGTTCCTGTCATGACTTTTGCACATTGTTATGGATTGAGGGAAAACCCAAAGGTGTCTAATTACATGGAACATCTCCTTTTGCCTCCCAATTTTAATTATTGTTTTGGTCAGCCTAATTATTGAAATGAAAGAGTTGCATTTGGTGGTTCTTATCTTCTCTTTCAGAGATGTTCCCAAATGAATCTAATTTTATTTGCAAAGTTAAGTAGCCTAGAACTCTGAAATGAGTGCCACAGTCATTTTATGTGGCACTGGATCGTATTCCACTACGTTTTGCTCAAAGGAGACCTATTGAAATTAATGGAGCTAGCTTAGTCATAATCATTTCAATGGGTTTACTCTGAGTAAAACTTAGTTAAGTACCACCTACTGCCTCCTGTGCTCATTCTTTGCCAGCACAGCTGAGAGAGGTGAATAAAAGTTGTATGTTCTTTACTTGTTTATACCTTCAATTTCTAGATTTACTTTCTCACTCGTCTTAGCTGTTGTTCTTGAATTTCTCAGGCACCACAGTTTGATCTCTTCTGGCAGACATAATTGGCTCCTACTTCAAAAAGCCTGTTAAAACTGCCAAGAGACTGATTTTTAGACATCTAACTTTTTTTTGCCACTCAGCAGAAAGAAGACACAAAAAGGCTAGTTGTGTTCATATGCATCAGTGCTTGGAATTACTGGGATTCAACTGAAGGGTGGAAGGGTCAGGTCACTACTAATTATACTTAATATATTCCAGCTTTCTCAAAAATCTAAAACTCGAATGCCTAATGATGAAAGGTAGAAATAGCTCTTCCACAAAGGATGTAACACTCTAACTTAGAGATTTCAGGGAGGCCTGAGATGACTAATAAGCTTAGAAGGGACACCCAGTTTCATAACGTTTGATATACACTGCTGGTGTTGTTGGATCTAGCTATGGAAGCTTAAGAATAAAATAAGGCACTTCAATTTCATTTTAGGTTTTACTCGGCAGAAATCAGTTTAGCATTAAACTACCTTCATGAACGAGGAATAATTTATAGGGATTTGAAACTCGATAATGTGTTGCTAGATTCTGAGGGGCATATCAAACTGACTGACTATGGCATGTGCAAGGTAAGAGGCAAAATCTCCAAACATCTTGAAGTCTTGATTTTCCTAACATGATTTTCCTCCCTAGAATGTGCTGTAGTTTTTGATTAGGTTGGCTTCATTAAAATATGTACAATGATGCAATCAAATTACCAAATAACTGGAGAGAAGAGGAGACACACATGGTTTCTCTTGACTCATTTTTTCAAGTTGTTTAGAAGCAGCAGCAGTAAGTCTATGCTACTAGGTTGGGCTGCCATGATGTCCTCCCATAAGCACACAAGCTTCAGTTATTGCTGTTTTCCTCTATCCCCTGCAGCCCCAAACATGACTTCCCCCACACTGTTCAGGGGTGGTCTCGCAGTTCTCCAATCCAGATTTTCAGGAGGATTTGAGTAGATTGTTAAAAAATGCTGCCACCTCTGGCCACCAGTGGGAGCCTCAGGTAGTTTGGAATTGTGCTAACTAGATTTTCTGCTAATTCAGTAAAATGATTTTCCATGGACTTTAGCTAGCAGCCCAGAACATCTTCAGTTTTTAGAAAGAGCGCTACTTTTATCTTGATCTAGTGCAGTGGTTCTCAAAGGGTGTGGCGCTCCACACTGGTTTGGCAGGAGAGGATGGCAAGTGTGGCAGGAAGATTCAAGAACAATCAAGGAAATGTTTAAACTTTTCAGTGCAGTATAATGAAATACAGGAGTATGCCACTGGACTTTTTTGGGATATAGAACCAGAAACAACTCTTCTTCAAGAGCATTCGCTATTCTACAGTTCTCCATGACATATTATTGTGGACAGGGATTTTCAATTCTGACAAATATGAAAGATCAGAAGAGAGACTTCTTTGTCTCAAATTAGATCTAATATAAATAAGATTACCCTGCAAAAGCAAGCTTACACCTCTCAATGAGTGTACAAGGCTTGTTTATAATTATATTTTGGGAATGATTCCTGTTCTTATGTAGCTGTATTGTTTTGTACTTTCTGGATGTCCCACAATCATATTATAAAGTAGTTGTGATCTATGCTATAGATCAAGCTAGGAGTTGTTTCTTCTTGTTTTCCAATGTATTTCTTATCAATTAATTTTTTTATTCTGAAAGTGTGGCGCATGTATGAAAAAGAGCTTGTATGTTTGCTCTTGCCTGTTAAATTAGGTGTTGTGCAGTTAAAACAACTGACTTGCTATTATGATGGGAAGCAGAATAAATATTTGCGTACGATTTTCATTCCCCTTTGTTTCCGTTTTAAAAGGAAGGATTAAGGCCTGGAGACACAACAAGCACATTCTGTGGCACTCCTAACTACATTGCTCCTGAGATCTTGCGTGGAGAAGATTATGGTAAATATTACATGTATAAATACCAAACCTGGATAGCATGAGTTGTTACCACACAAACCAAATGTCCACCACAGTTTCCCCCTGGCACTGAACCCCTCCTGTACTCAAAATGATTGTGCAATTAAACCTAGCACTTGATCCAAATGCAAAATAAATTGACAGTGACCAGTTCTGCTTCTTCAGTTTGATTTCTTAGAATGTGGGAACATGTTTGAGCTCCCTCACAGCACTGCTTATCCTGCAGCCCTCTTATTTTCCCGCCCTGTGCAGAGGATGTGGGGGGCAGAGGTCTGGCAAGAAAGCAAGGAAGTAGAAGGAGTACAGTGGGGTGCAGAGAAAAGAGAAAAAGATAATAAGCAAGAAAAATGGGGAAAGTGTGAGGTTTTTAAAAAGAAAGGTGAAGCAGGCTAGGTTCTTAGGGAGCTTGGCTACACCAGACTGGCCACAGCAAGAGGTAGGCCAGTTTGATCAGTGGGATTGCCCTCCTGCCAGGTGAATTGGTCAGTAGATTAGACCCTCCCTGCCTGAGCCAATGGGAGGTGCCATCCCAAGCTGTGGAGCCCACCTGCAACCACTTGGGGAACTGGCTTACTACCTCTTTGGGAGAACTAGGCCATAGCGACCATAAGGATGTCATTGAAAGCCTGGAATTTCTTATCCACCTAGATTTACCTTGAAATCCTCGATTGTGTAGTCTAACCACTGCTCTTCTTCCTGCTATATCTATTACTTTCCACCACATCTTTAAAGGCTTTGCCAGATAAACATGCTGATTATACCAAATCCTTTTAAAGTAGTGTTCTGCCTTGTTTTAAATCACAGGGTTTAGTGTGGACTGGTGGGCTTTAGGTGTCCTGATGTTTGAAATGATGGCAGGCAGATCACCATTTGATATTGTTGGAAGCTCTGATAATCCTGATCAAAATACAGAAGACTATCTTTTCCAAGGTAAGTAATTCAAAAGCACAATTTTTAGTTTGTTCAAGCACTTGATTCTGTGAAATGTACAATGAGGCAAGGTTTATCTCCTGACGAATGCCTGATTCCCAAGTAGATTTGTGCTTTCTGAACAAACATAGTGCAAAATTAGCTAAAGGACAGCAATGTATTGGGCTGATTTTCCATTGCCTTTAGAGACCTGAAAGTTTACTTCTGTGGCTAGATCTTAACTTTTAAAATAAAGGAGGGTGCAGTCAAGTTCCTATACCAGAAAAGGAAACCTACATATTTTTTAAAATTATTCTATGTATTTAAAGCACAAAAGAGGTGAAATTTATATCCTATGGTCCAAAAGAATACTACTATTTAGCATAAAAAACAGCCTTTAATTTAGTTCAACCTCTTATACAGATTGAGTTTTCCGTTGTACATCAGTTCCAAAACACACCTTTAGAATTTTAAAACAGAAAATTCATGAAATTAAAATGTTATTAATTATTTCTTCTAGTTATTCTAGAGAAGCAAATCCGTATCCCACGATCCCTTTCTGTGAAGGCAGCAAGTGTTCTAAAAAGCTTTCTTAACAAGGTAAGAGCTCGTGCCATATTTGGGTTGAACTTTGGTTCTTAAATATACATGTTACAGGTTTAAAACTGGCAAGAGAAAATTAGTATAAAAATTGAATGTAATATGAGCACTTTAACAATTTGTGTACTGAAACTCATTTATATTTACAATCTGTGCCTGTTTACTGGCCCAGTTACAATAGTCTTATTAAGCTTAATTTGACCTTCATGTTACATGTTTTCTTTACCTAGGATCCAAAAGAACGGCTAGGTTGTCATCCTCAAACAGGGTTTGCAGACATTCAGGGACATCCGTTTTTTCGTAACGTTGATTGGGACCTGGTAAGTGGACAGTATAAATATTGCTTTTAAATAGTACTATGCACAGTGAATATCTGAAATCTTGCCTGGATGAGAGAGCCTCTGCCATTGTCAGTGAAAAGTTGCCAAAAAACATTGTGTTTTCCCCATAGATTTTATATTATGACACAGTAAGCAGATAATTAATCTTTTTAGGGCATGAACAATATCCTTTCAAGTACTCAAAGTGAGCATGAACTACACAGTGCAGTGGTCATTTTAATACTTCAGGAGCTCAGTTCCCTTTTACCATGTTTTCAGAAGTTTCAGCATGTTTTCAGAAGTTTGAGGATTATGTTCAGAGCAAGGGGTTTTAAAGATTTAACAAAACTTATATGCTGCTTGATTGTAACAAAATCTCTAGGTGGTTAACGATAAATATTAAAATTTTCATTAAAAAAGTAATTAAAAACAATTTAAAAAAGGAGTAAACTAAAAAGAGATTAAAACTTGTCAGCATGTATATGTCTGGATAGATTTGCCTAAACAAAAATAATTTAAGCAGATGCTGAAAAGAATATAGCAAATATGTCTATTTGATGTCACCTACTACCAAAGTGTAGGTGATGCCACACAAAAATTTATTGGAAGTATGGGATTATTATTGTGTGGCACTTGTTAACAGTCACTTTGGCAGATCGAAGCAGTTGAGTGGGCACATATTGGGTAAGGCCATCCTGCAGATAAACTGGTCCCAGGCTTGTTAAGGGCTTTATATACCAGGAACAGTACCTTGAACCTGATCCTGTAACCAATGAAAATCTCTAAGCAGACATGTTTATAAGTTGGCAGGGTCTCGCTTCTGTCAGCAACCATGCTGCAGTATTCTGTACTAGCTGCAGTTTTCAAATCAAGAGCAAGGGAAGCCCCAGATAGAGTGCATTGCAGTAATTTTATCTTGAAGTCACCAGTGCCTGAACTACTGTGGTCAAGTTAAGCTGGTCCAGGAATGGTTGTAGCTGTTGTATCAGGCACAGCTGGTAAAAAGGGCTTCTAGGTACTGAGGCAGTCTGGGCTTCCAGAGACAGAGCTAGGTATAGAAGCACCCTGGACTGTGTAACCTGCTTGTTCATAGGGAATGCAACCCCATCCAGGTTTTGTTTTCTGCCATGGGAACCACTCGCCTGCAGATTTGCCAAACTGGCACCAGTCCAGGTGTTATCCTGATTCCAATGTAATAAATGGAGAATTCGAGGTGAGTGTCAACAGTGTACTGGTGGCACCTTGGCCCCAAACTCCTGATAACAGTTCCCTGTGGCTTCATGTAGATATTAAGTAGCACTGGGGGATAAAATAGTTCCCCGTGGCACCCTGTAGCATAACCACAAGGGGGCCAAAAGCGTTCTACCCATTATACTCTGCAATACAGAGCCTCCAAAGCAATAGGATCATTGTGTGGAATAAAAGCTTACAAACACTATAACCCATAGTTTGTCCTCCTAAGAGAAATGTGAACTATCCTTAATGCACTCTATGTAATTATCCAACAGCAACACTTAAATGCTATGTGAACTTATTCCTAGATGGAGCAAAAGCAAGTGGTTCCTCCCTTTAAACCAAACATATGTGGAGAATTTGGTCTGGACAACTTTGACTCCCAGTTCACGAATGAGCCTGTTCAACTCACCCCTGATGATGAGTAAGTAAAGGATTAAGCTACTAAACGGAACGAAATGCTGCCCTGCAATTCTAACAGCTCTTATTGTGGTAGTATTTGCCGTGATGGAACTTCAGAACCTCTAACAGTTTCCAGAAGTAGAGACAAACAAAGAAGGCTATCCACATTCTGCCTTGCTTGTAGGTATCCTGGATGATTGGCCATTGCTGGAAGCAGAACACTGAATTGGATAGATGCTTAGTCTGATTCAGCAGAGCTGCTCATATTCCCATGTGACCAAAAATGACTACCCCACTGGGGAGAACAAAATGGCAACTGGTAAATTGCACAATGAATTGTAACTAACATGGTTTCTGAGATTTTGAAAAATATAATTGGGGCCAATCCAGGATTTTGTAACTTCAGATAGTTCAGCACAGGAAGCCACTTTATACCAAAACCAGACTTAGTGTCTGTCATGCCCAGTATTGCCTGGCACCTACTTTCCAGGGTCTCCAGTAGAGATATATCATATCACCTGTTACCTGATCACAAGTAGTGACGACATGAATTGACCCTGAAGTCATCTGCATGCAAAGCATCTATGTGTAGCTGGGGAAACCTAGCTAGATGGGTGGGGTGTAAATAAATTATTATTGCTCAGGAATTCTAAGCACCAAAAAAAATAGAAATTTATAAATGGATAGCATAATTTATTATTTTTTTGGCCTGTGCATGCTCCTCCAATCTGACTCCGTTAACAGCTGGCCAGGAACTCTGAATCAACTCGGAGGGCAGGGCTAATGTTAATTAGGGTTTTTTAAACCCAAGGTAGTCAGGAGGAGGGCTGAGGAAGGAAGACGGTATATCTCCTTAGGCCCCCTCCTCCTGCCACACTGCAGAGAGTGGAAGGGTTCAGTCCTGCTGGGTGCTGTTTCATCAGGGTGTTGCCCACACAGAACACAATAGTGAAGCAGCCAGCAATATAGCACCCATGGTGGGCAGCTCCTGCACTGCTGCTCCATGTGCTTGGCTATTCTGCCAGGCCTAATTGTCCTCCCCTCTTTGTCTTCCCCTCTCATTGCCCCAGTCCATGGGTGCTGCTTACCTGGCTGCTGCTATCACCGTTATATTACGGGAAGCAGCTGCCTGAGCCCAACTCTCCTCACTTTGCGCCACCCTGCAAACCAGCTCTTGCACCAACTATATCACCAATGGGGCTCTCCCCAGGGTGGCTCGCCTGGCAGCTTCATTTCGTATACCGTATTATTCACTCTATAAGATGCACCAGACCGTAAGACACACCTAGTTTTTGGAGGAGGAAAACAAGAAAAAAAAACCTCTGAATCCCAGAAGATGAAGGCTCCCTGCTGCCCTGAAGAGGCCTTGTGCGGCTATCCCAGAAGCTAGAACAGCGAGAGGGAGCGCTGTGCAGCGATCCCTCTCCCCGTTCTGGCTTCTGGGATAGCTGCACAGCCTGCATTCGCTCCATAAGATGCACACACATTTCCCCTTACTTTTTAGGAGGGAAAAAGTGCGTCTTATAGAGCAAAAAATACATCTTATAGAGTGAAAAATATGGTATTTAGATGCCAAGCAAAAACATTCCTCTTCCCCAAGTCTTTGACTAATTAGTCTACGGCCATTTAAACTGGAAGTTGTGGTGGTATTGTTTTGTTTGTCTGTATTTTTGTTTAAAAACTAAACTGTCCTGTCATCCTTGGATGATGTTTGGTTAATAATAATAATAATAATAATAATAATAATAAATATTAATAAATAAATATAAACAAACAAATATAATAGTTTCTACTTGAATTATAGGAGAAGGGACTAAAAGAATTCCTCTGTGTACTTTTTGTTCAGTGCATCAGAACCCTGACAAGAGCACATTTCTTTGGGCTCCCTTATTTGTTTTTAGCACCTCAGTTTTAAGCTGAAAAGGGGGGGGGACTCCCCGAGCAGCTTACAGACATGAATGAAAAGACTGTCCCTGCCCTTAGGCTTACAATCTAAAAGACTCTACACAAGATGGGACTCAGTAAGAGAAGGGGAAAAAAGCAAGCTTCTGCACTGGTTCTTAGATACAGAGGTCTTGTAGACCAGCTTGAATAGAAAGATTCAGAGGGAAAGGGCTAAAAGTTACTACTTTTTCAGCAACCTTTGTCCTTCTGTAGTAGCTTGATGGAATGGTTGCTGGTGGACAGTTGAGAGAGTAGCCTGATGAATCTGATGTTTCAGTAGAGCCAGTGCTGAATACAGTCACTCTCGGGGGTTTTTCCTCAGTACAAATTGTATTGTATTGTTTTTTGAGAATATAAATGCTCTTTTTATTTTCAGTGATATTGTGAAGAAGATTGACCAGTCTGAATTTGAAGGCTTTGAATATATCAACCCCCTTCTGATGTCTGCTGAGGAATGTGTCTGATCTCCCACTTCTGAACTGTGCCATTTGTCGCTGACACATTTTTCTGCATGGATGAACAGTTTGCAGTTGGGGTGCAATTAATAAAATGCATTTACCTTTGTCATTTGCTATCAAATACGAACTTTTCACTAACCTGCTATATAAGCTGGATGCTTTTTATTTGACTATAAGGAAATCTAAAACACTAAAACAGATTTTGCCAAAGTTGAACTTGAAACATCAAGGCAACCATTTTCCTACAGGCTGCCTAATGTGAAATAGAGGATGTTGCCACCTATTCCACTTGAAATGTAATGCAGCTCTGGGTTCAAAGTGGTCTAATTAAAGAGCACCTGCTTGCATTAAGTGAAATTAACACATCAAGTCCACCTGTCTTCAGTTTTACATGTGTCTGTTGCCAACCCAGAGTAAAACGAGTATGCTCCCTAATTCATTTGAAGAACCCTTGCTAAACCTGAGTTCTCAGACCTGGCTAAGAAGCTTACTCGCATTGGTGATGATAATGTGTTAGACTGAAAACAAATGAAGAGCAGCAGGAGAATTTACATGTACTGCCACAGCCCGCTTCCATTCCATGTATATCCCACATTCAGTATGAACTGGACGTAAAGTTTCATCTTTCATGTTACAATTTTAGCATTGCAATCCTGGGTGCATTTTGAGTAAGCGCCATTGAATTTGGTGGGATTTACTTATGAGCAAACATGCATAGGATTGTGGTGTAATATTTGCAGTCTCCAGGATACAGTGGTACCTCGGTTTATGAACTCAATCCATTCTGGAAGTCGGTTCTTAAACTGAAACTGTTCTTAAACTGAGACACACTTTCCCTAATGAGGCCTCCTGCCACTGGTGCCCTTCCACCATTCGGATTCTGTTCTTAGACCGAGGTAAAGTTCTCAAACCAGGACACTATTTCCGGCTTTGCGGAGTTTGTACACCGAATCGTTCGTAAACCAAGGTACCACTGTAATGCCTTGCTTTTTTTTTTAGACTTGGAAGTGGCACAGCATTTACTTTAGGCTTGACAGAGTCATGGAGAATAGTTGCTTTCTTGACAACAGAGACCATGGCTGTCTCCAAATAGGACTTTTCTTTCAAGCACCATGCAGTAGATTTGACTCCAAAATTACTTGTCATTCGTTTAATCAAAGTTCTTTGGTATACATCCTTGCTATGTAAATGAGTGCCTTCTTATTAAGTCTGTCCTTTTCAAAAGGGCTAATAAAATGTATGGTATCAGTTTGAATTAAAATGAACCAGTAGAGGTTTTTTTAAAAAGAAAAAAATAAGTATTTAGCAGAAATAGGCAGCTAATGTTAACAAATACAACCTCATGCAGCCAGCTTTATAATTTTGTAGCTTCTGTTAAGGTAGACCAGAATTTATTTTCACTATGGATTTAAAAGGCTAATAGGCTCATACAGCAGCTGTACAGTTTGAAAAACCATTACACTATACCACTACAAAAGGATCCCTCTATTAATGTGATTAGGGAAGTGTGGCTCCTACCATGGTCCTATACTTACTGCTCTAAGATGTATGCAAAAGTCTAAATAAAAATTCAAACCAGCTAGGTCAGTGAAGATGGGCGTTCTAAAGGTCTGTATATAATTAATATAATGACGTACCGAGAAAAAGTTGCATGCTTTATCTTAAAAGTCGAGGAACTGCTGGCTGGAGATGTCACTTGTGTATTTTGCTTGATTTTTAAATGCTTGTAAAGAGAAGGGATTTTCAAAGTGTTTTCGATAATGTAGAAATGTGGACTTAATAGTTGTCCAGAACCAAGCACATTCTAGTTAGCCTTCTGTGAGTTATTTTTCTCTGCCATTGTGAACTTAATCTATGGTACATTTGTGCATTAAGGCAAAAATTGCCACTTTGACTAGTATGCATTATCTTCATTGTGCTTTTCAAATACTGGCATGTTGAAGAGGAGGAATTCAACCACTTTGGTACTTTCCCTTGTTAAGCTCATGTCAGTTACAGGGTACATCTAAAAACATTTAATTGTGCTATGTTTTAGATCTGATGAGTAGTCTTTCAGTTTTCCATTCTTGAAGGGGGAAGGAGACCTCTATAACTTAATGGAGCTAACTTACAACTTGGCTTGTGCCCTCTTATTTTATTTCATCCTTTCTTAATGTATCTGAAATTAGGCCACTAACAGCGGTTTCACTTCATAAGCTGCATGGTACAGAATGACTTATATAAGAGGTACATTTTCTGACTCACAAACTGTAGGTGAGTGAAATTCTCACATCTAAGACTTTTCTTCAAAGCACAAAAGGAGTAAAATTGCAGATGTTACAATGTGCTTCCCACCCCCTTGTATATGTGTGTCTTACTTATTTCATCTTATAGTGTCAATTTTTCACAAAGAACTGAGGGATGTTAAAAGCAAATATCAAGTTTTGTTTTGTTTTGTTTTTCATGTTTCCAAACAAGTGCCATGGTATTAAGTTGTTAGTTGTTGTTGTTATTTTTTTAAAAAAAATATTAAATGTGTAGAGGCTGTCTTAAAATATTGAACAGGGAATTCAGACATGGACAGCTAATGCAGCATGCTTTTCTGAAGGTAGCCTTTTAGTGTAAACATTGAACTAAATGGGTGCTTCCATCTTGTACTATGTACTTCCTTCATTTTGCAGATATTGTACTGTACTGTGTAATCTCTTGTATTTCTGCACACTTTTTTACTTTCCATTTTAAGTTTCAAAATTAAAAAAAAACCACCAGGGCTTTTTCTTTAAATCCTGTGTTGCACTCATTGTACGCTTTCCTTGAGTATTCTTCCAATTTAGCAATTTTATTTACTTCTCTTTATTACTACTGGAGAGCTCTTGAACATTAGACAGTAAACACATAATTAGTTTTCACAGACAATTAACTCCTCAAATCTTAATTCATCATGGGAGTCTATGAACTGGCATCTCTTCTGCAGGGAAGGGTACAATTTAGGCTATAGTAATGCCAATTAGCAGTTAAGAGAAATGTGCATCATAAGACGTACTTCCATTGTACTTTTTGTTTACAGCCCTATTGAAAATGCTGAGTTGCAGACTAGGAGCAGGTCCATACTATACATTTAAAGGTAAAGGGGCCCCTGACTGTTAAGTTCAGTCGTGGAAGACTCTGGGGTTGCAGCGCTCATCTCGCTTTACTGGCCAAGGGAGCCGGCGTTTGTCCGCAGACAGCTTCTGGGTCATGTGGCCAGCATGTCTAAGCTGCTTCTGGCAAACCAGAGCAGCACACGGAAACGCCGTTTACCTTCCCACTGGAGCGGTACCTATTTATCTACTTGCACTTTGACATGCTTTCACACTGCTAGGTTAGCAGGAGCAGGGACTGAGCAATGGGAGCTCACCCTGTTATGGGGATTCGAACTGCCGACCTTCTGATCAGCAAGCCCTAGGCTCTGTGGTTTAGGCCACAGTGCCACCCACGTCCCATACAATACATTTAAAGCATAGTTTAAATATACTGGTAATAGTAGCACTCTGGCAGGGAAACTATAGTTCCTAAGATTCTTTAAGGGAGGTCACATGCTTTAAATGTGTGTAGGATGTGCTTTAAAAGTATGGTGTAGAGCTGCCATGGCTCACGGCCCCCTTCACACATTACTCAGGGCAATCTTGTGTTTAAGGAGCGCTTCCCACTTGACAGTGAAACACTGAATCTCAGGAATGAAGGAAGATCACATTCAGACATGTATCAAATCCAGGTGCAGCACCTGCATACTTCTTTGTGCCAGAGAAAGGCATGCCCTCCTTTGCTGTCAACAGAGCTGTGTTTCCACTGTTTTAAAAAAAGAGAATGACATCCAAATGCCTGTTTTAACTTTAGAATTACAGCCAAACAAGTCCATATGTGCCTGTTTTTACCCTTTGCTGCTAAGATTTTATCTATTGGCTGTCTCTCCTTTTACCTGCAAAATCAAGCATAATAGTGACCTTGTGTGATGGACAGATTTAAGGAGTCTGTTGCCTAATGGAGCAGACATTGTGGGACAGACTTGTGCCCTGGCTTATCCAAAGAGCTAGTAGGCAATCTTGTTATGTTACTCATCAAGACTCCTGTCTTTGGTTGGAACTACCTATTATGGTGCATCTTAATATCACTCTTTCTGGATTCTGCTTTCCTGATTTCTCTGCGGCCTACCTGAGTAGCAAAACCTCCGCTTCCACTTAGGTGAAAGGTACTGAGATGAAGTTCGTGCGAGAGTTCCTATGTTCCAGTTCATTACGTTAATTGGTATATTGGAAGTTGAAGTTATCAAATCTCATGTGGGGTGGGAGATGTTGTTCAACACAGTATCCTCACCCAAATCTGGAATATATCTTGCCCTAGACATAGTTGTGATTGCGCAGTGGGGAGGTACTCTGGACATGGCGTAGATGTCCTTCACAATACCAGGGCTGAGCCATGGTATTGAAAGGATGGTCTTCTAATGCTAAATTCTGGTGGGTTCTGGATCAGATTTTGCTCTTTATTTGTCTATGTGGCTGAAATTCAATTTTAGGAAATGATATTTGTAATTTTCAATGGATTCGTGAAGTAGGAGGAGACAGAACCTGGAAAGTATTCTAGTTTTTTACTTCCTTTGACTTTTAAAATGTGTTATGACTTTTTAAAATTAAGGAATGATTTAATTTCTAAATGAGAGGTGATTGGATCTATTTATCAAGGAGTCAGGCTCATTCCATCTCACATGAAATCCATTCTCCCTATCTATGAATATACAGTATAGAGAATAGTTTCTTAGTTGGAAGACAATGGGTGTTTCCACATATTTAAATGAGTTATTTCCTTTTTAGTGCTGTAAAAGTCATGAGCAGGAGGGGGACTTAAAAATTCCCAACGCACCAACTGGAGACAGTCACTGCCATTGCTGCAAGAGACTGTTATTCTTGGGAATTACTAATATTCTGTGTGGTTATTATAACCATATGCCTCCCTGCTGCCCCTAGACAAGTGGTGCTGTTTCTTGGTAACCATGCTGCTAATTATAGATCAAATGCAGACTTATCTCCCTTTACTGTATCTGTAAACTAACATTTTATATCAAACTTAAGGCGTCTTGCACTGGAAATATAGAAAAAAAACTTCGTTATCAAATGGACACCCAAGGATCTAAGTTTGCAGTACAATCAGAATAATATTTAGCCTGCCAGCAGTTGTGTTTTACATCTGGCCTTCTAGAATCTCTTAAATGCACTATCAATGGACACAAGAATCTCTGTAAGATTTTGAGATCATTATTGTGCCAATATATTTAGGTAGTATTATCACCTCCTTGGCCCAGTATACCTGAAGGAGTGTCTCCACCCCCATTGTTCAGCCCGGACACTGAGGTCCAGCTCCGAGGGCCTTCTGGTGGTTCCCTCACTGAGAAGTAAGGTTACAGGGAACCAGGCAGAGGGCCTTCTCGTAGTGGCGCCTGCCCTGTGGAACGCCCTCCCATCAGATGTCAAGGAAATAAACAACTATCCGACTTTTAGAAGACATCTGAAGGC